ATGCAATTATTTTAGTAAATATAAACTGCTAAATACCTTTTCTCATCAGCAGTTAGAGCAGTCTTGTGACTTCAGCAGAGTACTAGTTAAAGCTTGTAGGAGGAGTTTTCTTTCTGCTCTAGGAGGATGCAAAACCCCTGACCCTCTGTCTGGACAGTGCTCATTGGCCCTCTGCTGATCACATGCACTCTCCCAAGGAAAAAAAAAAAAACCTCTCTAGCAGTACACACTAAACTGAGCATGTGTATGTGACTACAGGTTCAGTCTGTCTTATCAGGTGGACATTTGAACAAGAGGTGGAGCAGAGAAAACAGGATCAAACAGCCTTTTTACACAATGCAGAGGACTAACCCCTTAGGTTCCACAGTGAGTATAACAGGCATGCTTTACTGCATATACAGACTGATTTTACTGTTGTGGGTTTAGTAACACATTAATGTCCAAGCAGGTCTTTGCTTTTACACCATGGTCACACCGGGTGCGACTTGCCATGTGCTTTGCCATGCGAGTTGCAAATCACATGGCAAGTCACATCCTATTCTCCGCAAATTAAAGCGGTCATATCGGTGTGATTCCAACCTAGTCGGAGCCACACCGATTTCTAAAGTAGTGCATGCACTACTTCAGGTGTGACTTGCATAGACATCTGTGTCTTACAAGCCGCAGATGTCTTGCAAGTCGCACCTTAAGTCGGAAGGACATCCAACTTTGAAATCGTGTAATTTGCTGGAAGTCTCACGATTTCAAAGTCCAATTGGTGTGTATGGGGACTTAATGTCCAAGCAGCTGAGGAAGAGGCAAGTCCTTGAAACGCATCAGCCTGTTGGATGTCCAGAGTTCCCATTATGGACAGATACGTAGTGTGGATTGGACAGAGCTGTTCCTTCATGATGTGCCTATTGACAATTTGTGAGTACAATACCCACTTTTAGCATTTAATAAACATATTTTTGAAGGTAATGCAGTAGGCCGGTGCGCCCTCTGTTTGTTTTTCTCTATTCAGCTGTGAAAGCTATGATTTCGTTAATGGATTTGTGGCAGTGACTTATCTAATGCAAATTATCAGCAGCAATAAACCTGTAATAGCAATCTAAATACACAACCTTGGAACCAAAGTCTAACAAAGGTAGTGACCATAGGACTGCCACATACACTATATTGACAAAAGTATTGGGCCAGCCCTCCAAATCACTGAATTCAGGTGTTCCAATCACCTCCATGGCCACAGGTGTATAAAATCAAGCACCTAGGCATGCAGACTGCTTCTACAAACATTTGTGAAAGAATGGGTCGCTCTCAGGAGCTCAGTGAAATAAAGCGTGGTACCGTGATAGGTTGTCATCTGTGCAATAAGTCCATCCATGACAATTCCTTGCTACTAAATATTTCACGCTCAACAGTTACTGGTATTATAACAGGGTGGAAGTAAGGGGGAACAACAGCAACTCAGCCACAAAGTGGTAGGCCACGTAAAATGACAGAGCGGGGTCAGCGAATGCTGAAGCGCACAGTGCGCAGAAGTTGCCAACTGTGCAGAGTCAATAGCTAAAGACCTCCAAACTTTGTGTGGCCTTCAGATTTGCAAAACAACAGTGCATAGAGAGCTTCATGGAATGGGTTTCCATGGCTGAGCAGCTGCATCCAAGCCTTACATTACCAAGTGCAATGCAAAGCGGCAGATACAGTGGTGTAAAGCACGCCACCATTGGACTCTGGAGCAGTGGAGATGTGTTCTCTGGAGTGACGAATCACACTTCTTTGTCTGGCAATCCGATGGACTTGTCTGGGTTTGGCAGTTGCCAGGAGAACGGTACTTGCCTGACTGCATTGTGCCAAGTGTAAAGTTTGGTGGAGGGGGGATTATGGTGTGGGGTTGTTTTTTTCAGGTGTTGGGCTTGGCCCCCTAGTTCCAGTGAAGGGAACTTTTAAGGCGTCAGCATACCAAGACATTTTGGACAATTTCATGATCCCAACTTTTTGGGAAAAGTTTGGAGATGGCCCCTTCCTGTTCCAACATGACTGCGCACCAGTGCACAAAGCAAGGTCCATAAAGACATGGATGAGCGAGTTTGGGGTGGAGGAACTTGACTGGCCTGTACAGAGTCCTGTCCTCAACCCCATAGAACACCTTTGGGATGAATTAGAGCGGAGACTGTGAGCCAGGCCATCTTGTCCGACATCAGTGCCTGACCTCACAAATGCACTTCTAGAAGAACGGTCAAACCTTCCCATAGACACCCTCCTAAACCTTGTGGACGGCCTTCCCAGAACAGTTGAAGCTGTTATAGCTGCAAAGGGTGGGGCAACTCAATATTGAACCCTACGGACTAAGACTGGGATGCTATTCAAGTTCATGTGCGTGTCAAGGCAGGTGTCCCAATACTTTTGGCAATATAGTGTATATCAACACCACTGTTCTGTTTATTTTTAGGGTGGACCCGTCATTAACGTCCATGCTTTACGTAGATCAGTAAGAAGCATGTCTGTATGATCAAATCACATTATTTCAAGTTAAAAAAAAAAGTTCCATTAATAAAAACATGTTGTCATCAGAAGCCCTGCCCCACGGTCGCACATATACAAGTGTTTCGTATGCGCGGAATGCCGTGGCTACCTGGTGACCGTTTCGTGGCAGGATAGCTCAAGTGGGTTTGAACTAGAATCTAAATACACCTGGGTTCATCAGTAATTGCTGGTAGTACATGAGGAATTAATGAAGCTGAAGTGACTTATGAAACTTCACTAGAAGAGTGTCATCAGTGATGGATAACTTCTGATATGGGGGCCACAAGTGCAACATCTGCATTACCAAAGGAACACAGTTATTATTCATTAAATGTAATGCTACAAAAAAGCTGTCAGAGACATGAGACCCCAAAGAGGAGATAGTCAGAGGCTACAAACATGCTATAGGAATAGTTGGAAACAACCATCATAGACTGGAGACACATCACATAAACTGCCATTGGACTGTTTACACTGAAGAAGTCTCTGAAGAGCAATGCTCAGTGGATTGCTTTTTAGAAGGCAGCTAATCAACGGTGTACGGGTATTCAAGAAGCAGTCCCATCAGCTTAAAAGTTCAAGTTTGACAGATGGTGCCATCTGGTCAATTCGACATGTACAGTCCTGTCTGGCTGTATGCTATGTTCGAAGTGAGGAGTCAGGGGAGGCGGTAAAACTGTGGCTGGTTTACACCTATGCAAGTTGCGGTTGATGCATTCTTCTGGTGCGTTTTGCATTTTTGGGAGATGTCTTTTGTGTTGCGGGAGAAACCAGCATAACTGCATCAGCAAGCACTGCGTTTCCATTGAACTCTTTGGAACCGCGCATTTTGGCAGCCATTCATTCCAAATGGCACCCCCACGCATCTAAAAATGCAGTGCGTTAGCAGGTGCAGGAACTGCAGGGAAATCACATGGTGCTGGCCGCTGCTTTTTTAAACTGCTGCAGGAATCTATTTCCTGCATGAAACACAGGCACAACAGCCCTTTCAAGTGAATGAGCTGTTGTGCCCGTGCAAACGCGGCCCGCAATAGTGTGAATCTAGCCTGACCCTTTCCAAAAAACACACCGGTGGAAGACGCAGAGATATGAATGTGACCCATAGGAAACCATGTTAAATGGACTGTAGTGCATTTTGCAAAACTGAAACCGCACTGAAAAATACATAGTTGTGAGCCATGCCTTGCAGTCCTTTTACAAATCAGTGCTTCCACATTTGTGCTCCCTACCAGCCTTACTTCTGCCAGCAGGATGGGAAAAAAAGAACATACAAAAAGAAAAGGGATGGGAAGCACAGAATATTTAAAGTGTTACTAAACCCACAACAGTAAAATCAGTCTGTATATGCAGTAAAGCATACTTGTTATACTCACTGTGGAACCTAAGAGGTTAATCCACCACATTGTGTAAAAGGCTGTTTGATCCTGTCTTCTGTGATCCTCCCCTTCCTCCACAGTCCCCAATCCATCTGCTGATAGTACAGAGCTCTAGGAATCACTCTGCATATGTTCAGTTTAGTGTGTATTGCTAGAGAGGTTTTTTTTCTTTTGGGAAGGTGCATGTGATCAGCACAGGGCCAATGAGCACTATCCAGACAGAGGGTCAGAGGTTATGCAGCTTCATAGAACAGTCAGAGGAGAATGAAAACTCCTCCTACAAGCTTTAACCAGTGTTCGGACAGACACTGATAGAAGTCACAAGACTGCTATATGCTGCTGATGAGAAAAGGTATTTAGCAGTTTATATTTAGTAAAATAATTTCATTTCCATGTGTATCGTGAGAGACCAGATATTGGAAAGCGGGGTCCCCGGTTTAGTAACACTTTAAGGTAGTTTAAAGGAAATAAATCAGACCATTCAACTACCAGATGCCAGTCTAAAGAATATTTTTTTCTCTGCCTAAAATAAGTACCTAACGAAGAAAAATAAACTACTGTCTGCAGGAGCCCCTACGGCTGTACAATAAGGGTCAAAGGGCTGCTGATAGTGCAACAAGGGTTTTAGACTACAGATCAAAATGTCCTCCTTTCTGAACTGTCCCAGGTCTATGCCCAGTCCTGCTATGTATGATCCAAAGTGAAGACCTATGTATAAAGGTTCTCATAAACAGCAGTTGGTAGATTCAGCCAAGCATGCATGTTTATGCCCATGTAGATACCTCCAGCAGTACCTCTTCTAAACAGTAACCTTAGAATTGGACGATCCAGCCCTACCAATCAGTAAATCCCTTGAGACTGCTTGGCTTAGGGTTTCATGGACAAGTCTGGAGTAGACCATAATATACCATCATTTTACAGTTTAACAGTTTTTGAATGGTTTGGTGGAACCACAAGAGACTAAAAGAGAAGTAATAATACTAATGGTGGAGATTCTGTCTTTATATGTATATGTTATGATGTTTTTTTCCTGATGAATAATATGCTTTTCTTTGTTTTTAAGGTAGAGCTCTGTGAGTGCTCCAGCGGGCAGGCTGGACAGAAGAGCCAACGGAGGAAATGCCTCCACCTCTGGATATTGTGAAGGTAGCCATTGAGTGGCCTGGTGCTAACGCCCAGCTAATTGAAATTGACCAGGTAAGAGTCTTGTGCTAAATAATTTAACAGGTATTAAAAATGGGGTAAATGAGGCTAAGGCTGCATCGTTGTATTTGGATACATCTGCACATTTTTTAAAATGTAATTAAATATTTTCCTGGTAAATTAGCATATGATTATTTCAAGGCTACACACATATCAGTCCCTGTGGGCAGTAGGAATCCCATCTTGACATTCAGCTTATTGGACCTTCTTCCATCACTTGCTGGGTTGTTGCCAATTGCACACTTCCTTTCCTTTCCTTTCTCACAACCCCCCTGTCCTGTGGGTGGTGACCACCACCACCAGGTGAGGGTGAGGGCAGGGAAGAGCACCAGTGAATGGGGCAGGGAGTTGACTACCACTGGCTGGGGGTAGGTGATCACCACTCACTTGTATTGGGTAGGATGGTGGTCACAGGTTGGGGCAGGGGCTAGGGGAGTTGGGTTTCGACCACCACTGGATGAGGGTGAGGGGGTTGATCACTCCTGGATGGGGGTAGGGAGGATTACAAGTACTGGATTTGGGTAGGGAGAGCGACTACCACTGGCTGGTGGTGAGGAGGGTGACCACCACTGGCTTGGAGGCAGGAGGAAGTGACCACACCTGTATAGGGGCCGAGGGGGTTGACCACCACTGAATGAGGGCGTTGACCACCACTGAATGAGGGCGAGGGGGTTGATCACCCCTGGATGGGGGTAAGGAGGATTACAAGTACTGGATTTGGGTAGGGAGAGCGACTACCACTGGCTGGTGGTGAGGAGGGTGACCACCACTGGCTTGGAGGCAGGAGGAAGTGACCACACCTGTATAGGGGCCGAGGGGGTTGACCACCACTGGATGGGGGTGGGTGATCAACACTAGCTGGAGGTGAGTAGGGTCTGGTTTGGGCCGGGAGGGTGGCCACCAGTGAGGGGGAAGGAGGACCACCACTTGGTGTGAAGAGTGATAGCGATATATGTTGTGGAAACAGCGTTGACGCAGGGAAAAGAACTCCTGCCCCTGGGAGCAGGGAGAATGACCACATACAGACATGAGAAGAGGAACAATCGGCACCAATGTAAACAGGAAGACTGACCATCACTGGTCCCAGGAGGTAACTTGTTGGTTCATGAACAAGTTCTGTTCCCTTTTTAGCTTAGTGTAACAATAACCCACAGGCAATATAAGTAATTTGAGGTGACCTGAAAGCTTGCATGTGGATTGCAAGTGAAAAATCAAAGTTGTAATTTATCTGTATATACTAAAATATACAGGTAAATTACATCCTTAATTGGCGGACTAGGATGGCCGATTTGGTGAGGGGGGGGGGGGGCTGTAAACCATCACCACTGGACACAATGGGGTTTATTTACTAAAGCTGGAAAGTCCAAAATCAGACTCCCTTCTGCATAGAAACCAATCAGCTTCTAACCTCAGCTTGTTCAATGAAGCTTTGGCAATGAAACCTGGAAGCTGATTGGTTTCTATGCAGAAGTGAGTCTGATTTTGGACTCTCCAGCTTTAGTAAATAAACCCCATTGTGTCCAGTGGTGATGGTTTACAGCCCCCCTCACCAAATCGGCCATCCTAGTCCGCCAATTAAGGACTGATCACCTGTAGACTTACAGAATGCCTACGATTCAAGCCAGGGAGCACCCATCAGCACCCCTTTGAACTCCATGATATTATGTTAGGTCTACAACAATGGGCTGGGAATTTCTTATGCCCATTTATTCTAGGCCACTGCAAACTCTTGGAACTTGTTTCTACATTTTAGACAAATGATTTGTTCACTTAGCACACCCTCCCATCCTTTCAGAGGACTATAAGGCTACATTTGTCAAAATTTTAAATATTGTATTGCAGTGAATTTAAATCCAACCATCCAACAATGTGGAAGATGCATTTTGCTGGAAACTGGCCAAAGATACAGTACGCTAGATTTTTTTTTTCTTTTCTACAAACAGAATTAAATTGCAGAAGTATGACTATAGACATTGTTTCAGTTGCAGAACTCTTTGCAGTCCCATCTGGTGATGCTAGAATTGCTTTTTTATTTCCTAGAGACTGAATGATAGACAACAAAACATTATATAGTATACATAACTGAACTATTATGCAAAACAACATACAATTGTAAACCACACAGGAAAAATGAGCATGAAAAGATTGTCAGATCTTTTGAAGTCTTGTCTTCTTTAGGGCTGTGTTTTGATCTTATCTCGTTTTAAACTTTTCTCGACAGAAACGGCCACTGGCTTCGATCATTAAGGAGGTGTGTGATGGGTAAGCGCACCAATGGGATCACCATATGATCAACATGCAGTGCACATCCAGGAATTTCAAGCTGTTTCTTTGAACATCTCAGTATAATTTTATATTTATCAGGTTGCAGGAAAGACATTTTTCACCATCAACACGGACAGTGCGTACAGGGGAATCCCTCCTGTGTAGCCATTGTGTTCTCCTGGTGGGGACTGCTTCCCCCCACCCCCCATTGGAAGAACACAACGGCTCCACAGGAGGGATTCCTCTGTAGCAGCCACTAGCAATAATCGCATGTAAAATCCAACAGACTGGTTGTATTGAAGTTGACAAATTGATCAACTTGGGTACATTCAGCCTGTCCATACATGGTTTGAATCTTGGCCAGTTCTTGCTGAACTGGCCGAGAATCGAACTGTTTGTGTCTGGCTTAAGACTTCCTATAAGCTTCTTTGTAGGACAAAATTCAATATAGAAGTTTCCTACCACTTGAAGGCCCCAAAGTGTTTAACCACTTCAAGTCCAGATACTTTTACCCCCTTCCTGTCCAGGCCAATTTTCAGCTTTCAGTACTATCACACTTTGAATGACAGTTGCGGGGTCATGCAACACTGTACCCATATGACATTTTTAGCATTTTTTTGAGACAGATAAAACTTTAATTTGGTGGTATTTATTCACCACTGGAATTTTTTTTTTTGCTATATAAATGAAAAAGTGTTTTTCTTATAAAATTTTGCAAATAAATTATCTTTCTTCATAAATCCTGGCCAAAATTTACTTGGTTATCTTTTTAGTAAAAAAAAAAATAACCCAAATTAGTTTATAACCAAAAATGATAGTTTTTCAAAAAATTTGTTTACATTTTTAATTTATTTTTTTATATTATTATTTATGTTTTTTTTTTTTGTTTTTTTACATACCGTCACCCTAGCAGTACAGTGTCACCATAGTGACACTATACTACTTGTGGGGGGTGATGAAGATTTTTTTTTTTTTCTTTTCTTTTTACACTGATTGCTTTTACACCCATAAAGGCTGTAAAAGCAATCATTTCTGCTTCTCTCTGGCATTCTTACAGCCATTGAGAAATACTGTGAGAGCTGTGATTGGTTACAGCTTGTCACATGGTACAAGGCTGTTGTACATAGCCTTGTACCATGTGACCTCTGTGATCATTCACAGATTTCACAAGTAGTAAGCAATGATGTCAGAAGTGACATCTTTCTTACTACTATTCATGTGATCACTGATTGGCTAAACATTGATCATGTGATCTGGACCTCACACAGAGGTCCCGTACAGCGATCGGTGTTCTGCTGCGTCCTCCGGACTCAGCGGGCACCGGATCGCGGTGACGCGCGCTCCCAGGGAGTGCGCGCAGCCAGAAAAATCGGGCGCTGTTTGTGAACGGCAACCTGCTCCTGCACTGCTCCCGTCCAGCCATTTATGTACATGGGCCAGACAGGAAGTGGTTAATGTAGTAATTTTTTAAATGAACCAACCTCCAATTATATATTGCATAGTGTGCTGCTTGCTTTGCTTAGCAGATGTATAAGCTTACACTTCTTTTATGTGAAACAGTGAAGTGGCAAGCGAGTGACCAGATATGATTATTGCACCACATCCCTTAAAATTGCAAATAATCAATAGAGAAGATGGGACTTTCAGGGTGCATAGACATGAATACCACACATTAAAAGTTATATAATTTTTATTTCGTATTTTGGTAAAGCACAAGAAAGGAAAAGATACAAAAACATAAAAACAATTTCAATTCTAAGAATACCAACTGAGATTCAAACTTGGTTAGATAAATGTAGTATACTCCCTACATGTTTCGCCCTCACGGGCTTCTTCAGGGGAGATTTTTTTAGGAAATTTCTACCGCCAAAGCAGTCTAAAAGTATATCTAAAGAAAACTGTTCAATTACCAAACAACTTTAATGTATACAATACAGGGTATTTAATCAAATATATATACATATATATGGGACTCAATGGCTCACCCTGGATGTGAAAGCTCACAGAGCTAGAAGAAAATGACCTAAAAAATCTTAATTGGCCTACACATCCAAAACAGTTGTAGAGGATATAATGGGCATCAGATATCATCTAGGCACAATGGGATAAACAAAAAAAGATTACTTAAATTTAACGGGAAATATGAAGAGATCTTAATTCCATAGGTTGAGATAAACTTTGGGCAATTTTACCTGTTAAATGCTTTAGGATATATAAGTATAACCTAACAAAGATCTATTTGACCTATACGTTCACAACCATAAGAAAGGAAACAATGGACATCAAACATCCATCTAGACAAAATAGTATAGACAAAAATCAGAAACTAATGTAATGACACGTGCTCCCAGGGAGTGCGCACAGCCCGAAAAATCGGGCACTGTTTATGAACGGCAACCTGCTCCTGCACAGCTCCCATCCGGCCGTTTATGTACATGGGCCGGACAGGAAGTGGTTAATGTAGTAATTTTTTAAATGAACCAACCTCCAATTATATATTGCATAGTGTGCTACATGCTTTGCTTAGCAGATGTGTAAGCTTACACTTCTTTTATGTGCTTTAGGATCTATATTTTAAATCTATCTGCTTCCTCTGCACTGACCTCAAGTCTTTCACACAGACAGCATCATAAATCAAACTCCAGCATTCAAAAGCTATATTACCAAGTCATTTTTCTATAAGTCTACAGGGTTTTATGGGATTGAACTGACTGGTGCCCTGTGCCTGTTACTGTGGAATCTCTTTGATCCTACAGCTCAGAGCTCCTGCAGCATTCTGAGAATATTACGTTAGGCTGGAAGGCAAACATTCATTCATTGCCAATGTTTACTACTTGCATCATACTTGGCACATGAGCTGCAAATGTTTAAAGCTGAACTCCAGGTAAAATTCTAAATACACAGAGAGAATACATCTGTAGACAGTGGCTTAGTGGCTAGCAATTCTTCCTTGCAGCACTGGGGTTCTTGGCTCAAGTCCCTGTCAGGATACTGTCTGCATGGAGTTTGCATGTTCACCTTCTGCTTGCATGGGTTTCCTGCATGTGCTTCTGTTGCCTCCAACACTCCAAAGTCATGCTGGTAGGCTGATTGGCTCCTGTCTAAATTTGGCCTTAGTGTGATATTTTATTGAGTATGCCCATGATGGCTTCCAAGGAGCAGAAAAACTGCCACTGCCAGTATTTTATTCTCTAGGGTCTCTACTTACAGAAAATATATAATTGTTTGGGGGTTTCTGGCAAAAAAATGCAGATGTTAACGTCTGTGAAAAAAAATCGAAGAAATGGCCCAGTAGATCAGTGGTTAAATTGATATGTTCTTTAGTACTTGTAAGTCACAGTTTTTATAATAATGATGCAGTCAGTGTTGACTAGCTTATGTGTGGGAGGAAAGGGTAGAAGAGCTCATGAGATTCACCCACCATCTGTAAAATAAATAGTATTTTTTTTTCTTGTTCTAAATTAAGTCATTTGAATTTTTAATTTTTGTTATGGTTTACAGTAACTTAACCTCTTCACGCCGGTCGAACGCAGATGTGCGGCCTCCCAGCGTCTGGGCCTAGATGCCGAGCGGCCGCACATTTGCGTTCCATTAAAAAAGAACATATGTGCTGAGAGCGCGTGACCTGCGCGCTCCCTGCACACATGTCCGGTACTCACAGAAAGGTCCCGATCTTCTCTTTCGATTGGGACATTTCCAGATCATGTGACCGCGCGTCACAGCGGTCACATGACTCTAAACCCCGCCCCGGCTTCTGGAACCCCTAAAGGTCCGGGAGGCGCCGGCGTGAAGGGGTTAAAAGAGAAGTATGAGAATTAGTTTTTTTTTTTCCCAAATCATACTTACAGTTGCAAGAAAAAGTATGTGAACTCCTTGGGATTACGTGGAGTTTTGCATGAATTGGGCATAAAATGTGCTCTGAATGTCATCTAAGTCAGAGTCCTGACCTCAACCCGATTGAAATGCTGTAGCATGACTTTAAGAGAGCGATTCACACCAGACATCCCAAGAATATTGCTACACTGAAACAGTTTTGTGAAGAGGAGTGGTCCAAAATTACTCCAGATCGTTGTGCAGGTCTGATCTGCAACTACAGGAAACGTTTGGTTGAGGTTATTGCTGCCAAAGGAGGGTCAACCAGTTATTAAGTCCAAAGGTTCACATACTTTTTCCTCCCTGCACTGTGAATGTTTACATGTTATGTGCAATTAAACCATGGCAACATCTAATGTTTGTGTAGTATTATGTTCAGCAGACTGTGTTCTTCTATTGTGACTTAGATGACGTTCAGAGTACATTTTATGCCCAATTCATGCAAAACTCCACGTAATCCCAAGGGGTTCACATACTTTTTCTTGCAACTGTACCTAGGTGGATACAGCATCAGTCCAATACTGCATATGTCCCCCGCAAGCTCTAAGGGTGAGAACTCAGCAATCACATGACCACTGTACCCTGAGTTCTCAGAGCCGCTGTGAGCAGAGAGCGGTGACTATCAGTCAACGCCCTCTGCTCTGCCCCTCCCCAGCACTCACTGGAGCACTGGGCTGTGGAGTGGGAGGGCTCTCAGCTGAAAATTTTAACATATTGCAGATTATCAGTCCTTATCGGTATCGGGACAGCAGAAACCATATAGGACTACATAACTGTTTTCTTCTTCATAAAATAGAAGGGTATGTTTCTGTAGTCCTCAGAGATTGAGAACAATATAACTAATAACAGTCAGCACAAGAAAATATCAGCAGCTATCCAAATATCATAAAGTCACTTTAATGAACCGGAGCAATTACTAATCATCTTTCCCTGCCTGCTTTCTTCACATTGGGTCATTATAGAGAAAGAGCCCAAAAGCAAACTGCTACAGTTGTGGTGCCTTTTTAGAAAATCCATATTAATATGTGTATGTAGTGTCATGGGTGAACCGTACATTAAATGTATTTATGCAAAACAAATATTGTATACACAGTACATTGTGCAAAATTGCTATAAAACTAATTAAAAAGGTATACACGAAAAAGATTGTCCCAAAAGCTATTGTAATTTTTCTGTTTCTTGTCCATTGAGGAAACAAGGTCATTAACCTTCAGGTCTACTGGGTCTGTGAGTTGTTATTGGGCTTTCTCAGCATCAAGCAACTATTTCCCAGATTTGCAAAACTTCCACTTAGTTTTCTGTTCACAGGTTCTACCAGGTGAACTTTTCAGCCTCGTCTGATGTCAGCTTCAGTTGTATGGTCCTTCAGATGGCTCTCTGAGCTTGAGACAGTCCCTGTTTTTTTTTTTTATTTTTTTTCTCAGGCCTCTCACTTGGACTACTTTTGGGTATCCTGAAAATAAAATTGAACTCCGGGAAAACTCACTTCAAAAGTCCTGCATTGCAGGGGACGGCTTCCATCCCGCAAGAGTTAACTGTTTTTTTAGGTCTAGGGCAGGGGTGTCCAAACTATGGCCCTCCAGGTGTTGAGGAACTGCAAATCCCATGAGACCTTGCAAGACTCTGACATCCACAGGCAAGACACCTGGAGGCAGAGGCATGCTGGGACTTGTAGTACTTCAACAGCTGGAGGGCCATATTTTGGACACCCCTGGTCTAGGGAGACTGAATACAGCAGTTATACTTTTCGAACCCTTCCACCCTGTGTTCTTGCTTTATAAGGTCCTGTGATGTTATCAATCCCCATTCAGGGCCCCTAGCCTTGCATTTGGATGTGAGGACGCCATGGGACAGTCCATGGTAAGAGCATAGGGGGGAGTGGAGGATCAGGTGAGTAGAAGTGCTTTTCCCATCCCCTAGACAGGAGCAAACAGTTAAACTTTGCAGTGCTAGTTTTCCCTCTTGGGCTTTAATGATTTCTTGTGTCCCTCAATGGGCCGGAAAGAAAATAGGATTTTTGTACTGATTATAAAATCCTTTTCTTGGAGTCTGTTGTGGCGCACAATAGATCCTGGTACTGCTTTGCTACAAACTTAGGCATCGTGGCAGTAGGAAGGGTTACCTTGGTTGGCTTTCATTTGTTTTGGTTGCCACTGCCTAATCCTGCAATAGGTGGCAGGGCCGTGGATACCCTTACCCACTGGTCCTCCTGTACGGGGCCCAGACCCGCTGTGTGATTTGGATGTGGGCAGGGAGGGAGATCGGCACAGAGGGGGAGCAATTACTTGAACTCATCCCCTGTATGGCTCTCTCTGCAGCACCTCCCGGTACACCATACATTTCCCTATGCTGTTCAAACCCCCTTGTGTGCCCCTCCACCCCCTCAGTGCTGCCAGCTTCTCTCCTTCCCACCGACAGCTGCAAGCACACAATAGGATCCTTAAGATGAAGAGTGGGGGAAAGGTCACATTTACCAGCCCCTTCCTTTCCTGAATGAACACATGAGTGATTGGTATCGATCACTCACTGTGCTCATTCATAACTGAAGCATAGTAAACTGTTTATTTGGGGGCCCTGTCACGTTTGTTGTACGAGGCCCCGTGGCTTCTAACAGCAGTCCTGGTAGGCGGCGATAAAACCCCACAATTAAATACTTTCTGTGTCACTCAATGGATTTCAAGAATAGGATTTTATTAAGTTATTGGTATTAATTACACATTCTCAAATCCTTTAGGAAGAGGTTAATAAAAAAAAAAATACTTCACATAGGCTTTGTCTTCTATTAGCGATGTCAGGCTGCTGCTGACTGTGACATGGTAACGTATAGATAAATGTGTCTTGTTTTCTTCTTTGTGTCAGGTGGTCCTTACCCAACTCCGATTATTATGCATTTCGTTATGCAGACGGCCCCCAGCTGTACATAACTGAGCAGGTAAGCAAGCCAACTACTGTGTGGTCATTATTAACCACATGCCCTCCAGAAGATTTACCCCCTGTCCTGACCAGGCCATTTTTTGTGATACGGCGCTGCGTTACTTTAGCTGACAATTGCGCGATCATGCAACTCTGCACCCAAATGAAATTTATGGGTTTTTTCCCCACAAATAGAGGTTTATTTCGGTGGTATTTGATCACCTGTGCGGTTTTTATTTTTTATGCTAATAATAAAAAGACCGACAATTTAAAAAAAATATATATATATTTTTAATTTTTGCTATAAAACATATCCAGTAAAAAAAAATAAAAAAATCAAACTTATTCATAAATTTAGGCCAAAATGTATTCTGCTACATGTCGTTGCTAAAACAGACTCCCAATACGTGTAAATTAATTGGTTTACGTGAAAGTTATAGCGTCTACAAATAGCGGTATATATACCAGAATTTTTCTTTTTATGCTAGTAATGGGGGCGATCAGCGACTTATAGCGGGACTGCGGCGGGCATTCTGATATTAACTGCCACTGACATCCCCAGTGACACTAATATAGTGATCAATGCTAATAAAAAGCACTGACACTGTACTAATGACACTGGGCAGGAAGGGGTTCATCTGGGGTGATCAAAGGGTTAACTGTGTGCTGTTTTACTATGTGTGCTGTGTGTGTTTTACTGTGTAAGCACGCTGCTTTATATTGCTCTGCTATGCAGAGCAAAACACAGCAGCATTCTGGTGCTGACAGGGGAGTGATCTGTATTGTTTACATTCAAACCTTTCCCCTCTCAGTCTTCCTCGAGGATCGCCGGGGAATCTCCGGCTGGGACCCGGTGATGGACAGCTGTAGCCGCCAATGGCGGCGCGTGTAGGGCGCCGCGTGCGCCCCCTACCCAGAAATGCAATATCATATATATATATATATATATATATATACAGTATGTGATTGTGCACAGCTCTGCTGCCCTGTAGCAGTATTTGTGATATAGGGCATTAGGGAAGCGGTTTAAAAAAAAAGCTGATATTATTTTGTGCGTGTTTGGCCCATGGATGTTTTGGGGTTTTTTTTTTCAGACTCGGTGTGACATAAAGAATGGTACCATATTACGTTTGGCTGTCTCTCCTGTAAGTAATACATCACCTTTGTGTTTCTTACTGACATTTCCCAGCATGGTTTTATAGAGCATGTTGTATGCTTGCTATAGAACAGTGGTCTCCAAACTGTTGCCCGTAGGCCAAATGTGGCCCTTTGCCCACCTCTATCTGGCCCTTGGGGTACTATTCCTCCCACTGACACCAAGAAGGAAGCACCATTTCTTCAACTGGTACCAACTATGGGACATTTTTGCTTCCACTGACACTAATGATGGGGCACGATTCCTCCCACTAATATAAACAATTAGGTACTGTTCCTCCAACTAATTACTAAGGATGCAGCACTATTCCTCCAATTAATACCAAGGATGGGGTACTATTCCTTCCTCTGATACCAATGATGGGGCACTATTCCTCCTCCTGACACCAATGATGGGGCACTATTTCTCCCCCTGACACCAATGATGGGGCACTATTCCTCCCACTGTCACCAATTATGGGTCACTATTCCTCCCACTGTCGCCAATGATCGGGCACTGCTCCTCCCACTAATACCAATGATGGGGCACTATTCCTCCCAATAATACCAATGATGGGGCACTATTCCTCCTGCAAATACCAATGATGAGGCACTCTTCCTCCAACTAATACCAATCATGGGGCACTGTTTCTCCAACTAATACCAATGATGGGGCACTCTTCCTCCCGCTAATACCAATGATAGGGCACTATTCCTCCCACTGTCGCCAATGATGGGGCACTATTTCCCCCTGCTAATACCAATGATGGGGCACTCTACCTCCCACTAATACCAATGATGGGGCACTATTCCTCCCACTGTCGCCAATGATGGGGCACTATTCCTCCCACTAATACCAGTGAAGGGGCACTATTCCCCCAATAATACCAATGATGAGGCACTATTCCTCCCAATAATACAAACGATGGGGCACTATTCCTCCCGCTAATACCAACGATGGGGCACTATTCCTCCCACTAATACCAACGATGGGGCACTCTTCCTCCCGCTAATACCAATGATGGGGCACTATTCCTCCCGCTAATACCAGTGATGGGGCACTATTCCTCCCACGAATACCAATGATGGGACACTATTCCTCCCAATAATACCAATGATGGGGCACTATTCCTCCCAATGATACCAATGATGGGGCACTATTCCTCCCAATGATACCAATGATGGGGCACTATTCCTCCCACTGATACCAATGATGGGGCACTATTCCTCCCACTGATACCAATGATGGGGCACTATTCCTCCCACTGATACCAATGATGGGGCACTATTCCTCCCGCTAATACCAATGATGGGGCACTATTCCTCCCACTGTCACCAGCAACAATGACTGGACACTATTCCTCATATTCCCCACCTTCCACTGACTACAGGAATTATGTAATTTTTTTTACTTCTACTGACGCTGGGACATTTTCTAATCCCACAGGCCACTCTGTCCCTCCTAAAGTCTGAAGGACAGTAAACTGGCCCTTTGTTTAGAAAGTTTGGAGACCCCTGCTATAGAATTACAAGAAAGACTATTTGTTGTCCATACTAACCAATCGGCTGTTTGCTTTCGGTGTCAGTTGTCCTAGAGAAACATATCTATAGCTGGTATAAATGGAAACAAATAGATACAATGTTTCAACCGCTGTAAAATGTGAATGTCAGAGAACTGTCAGAAATAGCGGAGCTCTGCAGATACACTTAGCGGAGCTCTGCAGATACACTTTTTGCCGCTTGGAATTCTTCTTATTTTCATCCTACTTCTTCTTCTTCTTCATCATCCTCATCCTCAGAAGAAGAAGAAGAGGATGAGGATGAAGAAGAAGAAGAAGAAGAAGTAGGATGAAAATAAGAAGAATTCCAAGCCGGCAAAAAGTGTATCTGCAGAGCTCCTCTATTTCTGACAGATACACTTTTTCCCGGCTTGGAATTCTTCTTATTTTCATCCTACTTCTTCTTCTTCATCCTCATCCTCAGAAGAAGAAGAAGAATGAAAAGAAGAAGAAGAAGAATGAAAAGAAGAAGAAGAATGAAAAGAAGAAGAAGAAGAATGAAAAGAAGAATGAGAAGAATGAAAAGATTCTTCTTCTTCTTCTTCTCATTCTTCTTTTCATTCTTCTCATTTTTCTTCTCATTCTTCTTTTCATTCTTCTTCTCATTCTTCTTTTCATTCTTCTTCTTCTTTTCATTCTTCTTTTCATTCTTCTCATTCTTCTTTTCATTCTACTTTTCATTCTTCTTCTCATTCTTCTTTTCATTCTTCTTCTTTTCATTCTTCTTTTCATTCTTCTTCTTCTTCTTTTCATTCTTCTTCTTCTTTTCATTCTTCTTCTCATTCTTCTTTTCATTCTTCTTTTTCATTCTTCTTCTCATTCTCTTTTCATTCTTCTTCTTTTCATTCTTCTTTTCATTCTTCTCATTCTTCTTTTCATTCTTCTTTTCATTCTTCTTCTCATTCTTCTTTTTTTCATGAAGAAGAAAAGAAGAATGAGAAGAATGAAAAGAAGAATGAAAAGAAGAAGAATGAAAAGAAGAATGAGAAGAAGAATGAAAAGAAGAATGAGAAGAATGAAAAGAAGAATGAAAAGAAGTATTCCAGTACAGCAAAAAGTGTATCTGCAGAGAGCTCCGCTATTTCTGACAGTTCTCTGACAGTTCCTTCACATTTACAGCGGTTGAAACATTGTATCTGTTTCCGAATAAAAACATCTGTATCCTAAATGGAAACAAATAGATACAATGTTTCAACCGCTGTACATGTGAAGGAACTGTCAGAGAACTGTCAGAAATAGCGGAGCTCTCTGCAGGGACACTTTTGCCGGCTGATCGGGAAAAATCCGATTCGCGCACCCGAAGTATGCTAATATTCGGATTCGCCGCGAATCGAATTTTTCCTGAAATTCGAAACGAATTCCACTTCGCCTGGTTCGATTCGCTCATCTCTAATTACAACTATAGAAAGGGAAGAGCACCCCTTTCATCTGCACTAACCGATCAGATTTCACCTTCATTTTTAACTCATATTACAAAAGCTTTGATCTGAACTCTTGATATGAGCAACACAAACCTCTCTTCCTTCACTGCTTTAAATTGGTTAATTGTCTATTATGGGAGGTAATATTTCTTCTGTAAACTTGTCTTTGCGGTAATTATGATTTCACTTTCCCGACAGTCCCGCGCAGCACGGCAGCTTCTGGAACGGATTCAGAGCTCCAGTATGGACTCCAGGCTAGAGGCAATGAAGGAACTGGCTAAGCTGTCTGCAGACACTACTTTTGCAACCGAATTCATCAATATGGATGGAGTAACTATCCTTACCCGATTGGTTGAAGGTGGCACAAAGCTTCTTTCACAGTCAGTACCACATTTTCCCAAAACCCTTTTTTGGTCTTTTGTGGCTTAAAGGATAAGTTCACCTTTCATAACATGTTACATCTGTATTCAGGTTGTAACATGTAACATGTTACTAAATAAACAGCCCCCGCACCCCATGATCCTCTTTATGACAGCAGTTGCCACAGTCCGCCCATCTGGCTATGTCATTCATTTACAGAGTTCTATGAATGAGAGAACTACAACTACCATCAGCCATTGCGGCTGACATCTTGTACTCAGTGAACTGCGAGGGCACTGGTGAGCACTCTAGTGGTTTATTGATTCTTCCTACCATTCAGTAATTGCCCGTACGAGGTGCAAGCAGACAGCTACATTCAGTCTCCAGGAGCCTGACACTGCACCAGCGATCTGCTGATCATGGGTGAAGTGCTTTACAGGCTCCAATTAAAAAAAATATATAAATTCACTTTTTTTTTTTTGCCTGCAAAAAGATGTGCATTTATTTTTTTTTAAGGTGAACTTATCATTTAAAGTGTATGTCAGGGCAGAATTTTTAAAATATGCTGTACATCTTTAAAATATATACGCATTTTCCCATGTTTTATCCCTTTAAAACCTCATGTGTACAGAAAAATACCTGTTGATTTTCAAATAATGCACTCCTTTTGTGCACTGACAGCACACAGCAACAATTTCTGGTTTATGCTTCTATTTTTTTTAAACCATAGATTAAAGCTGAATTCCAGGTAGATATAAAAACACAATTCAATCAAGTTATATATTCGTTAAAAGTATTTTTACGTAAACTAGTATAAAATAATTAAATGTGTCTTTATATCAAGTTACTATAACCTGCAAAACAAAGCAAGAGAGGGAGATAGTAGTGCATGTCTCTTGTATTGGTATTACTGATGTGGTATGATGGTTAGACAGCTATTCTCATTTCCTTGCAGTTACGGTGAGATGCTGGCCTTCACCCTGACAGCCTTCCTGGAGTTAATGGACCATGGTATTGTCTCCTGGGACATGGTGTCACTCACGTTCATAAAGCAGGTCAGTAGTGTGGTATCTCTTCATTGAACATGGTGGGCAATGTGTAGCCTTAGTTGATGGGTTTTGTATTTCACACACAAGTCTATGGAAATGCAGACACACTCAGAGCTGGTTCACACCGTAGAAACGCAGTCCAGATGTGTGCCAGATTTGTTTCTGCATGCATGCTTTTCATGTGGTTTTGATGCATTCCAGTGCGTTTTATCCCCCTCTATTTTTATTCATCTTAAATATGGACATGTGCGTTCCAGTGTATTTTGATTCGTTTAGGTACATTTCTGGTGTGTTTTGCCACATTCCATTACAATTCTGTGCAGAAAACATGTTGCATGTTCTATTTTTTTTTTCTGCACTGGAATGCACTGGTGTGAACTACGCTATTGGAACCCATATGTAAGAAGAACTGAAATCGAAGCGCCAAACCACTGCTAAGAGGTCCAGATACAGCTTTATTCTATTAAAAGTGGTTGTAAAAGCTTATGTTTTTTTACCTTAATTGCCTTGTATGCATGAAGGTAAAAAACCTGCTGTGTGCAGCAATCCCCGCCCATACTCTTAGTCCAGCAATGCACACAGGAGACTCAGCTTTCCTGGGTCTCTCCCCCTCACTGCAGCGGGGGCTGTCAATAACAGCCTGGGGGGCTGAGTCCCACTCTGCTGTGTTTTATGGACACAGAGAGTCGGAATGAGGAGCGAGCACGTACCAGTGCCCCCATAGCAAGTGGCTTATTATGGGGGCACTGTTCAGGGAGGAGGAGCCAGAAGCGCCAGCGGGGGACCTCAGAAGAGGGGGATCAGGGCTGCTCTGTGCAAAACCACTGCACAGAGCAGGTAAGTATAACATATTTTTTATTTAAAAAAAAAAAAAAATTAAAAAGCCTTTAGTATCACTTTAAAGGTCAGGGATATAATTCAAGAAGTAGCCAACACGTTTCAGGGGTCTAAGTGCCCCCTTCATCAGGGCTAGAGAGAACATAAGATTTCTATAGGAATCTGACATCAATACAATATCCCCTCCATGGGGTTGACTCCATGGGGAGTGCTGAACAAAAATGAGAATATGGGTGCTGAAAAACAAAACAAACAAAAAAAAAAATCATTATTATTACAATGATATATTATAGGAGATATGTTAATTCCAGGGTCAGCAACCAGTAGATCACGGCCAGCTGACTGGTATATTGCAGCTTGGGCTTTCTGACCCTCCGTCCCAGAGCATCAAACCGCTAAAGGGGGGAGGGAGTCAACCACAGGGTTTTAACACCCCCCCACCCCCACTACCCCCAACTGTACATGTGAATGAGCCCTAAGGTTGCTGCTGCCAAATGCAACTAAGGGCTCATTCACAAGTACAGCAGGCACTGTTGCTCCTCCGAAAAGGGATTTGAGTGTGTTTGCCAGGTGGTGAGGAGGTGATATGTTGCCTCCTCTCAACCTGATTAAAACCCATGATTGCCGTGCAATGCAAGCAATCGTGACACAGTAGTATGGCAATTAGAAGATTAAATCAGGTGTGAGGAGGCGACACTGTGCCCGGTGATCTTTAACTTCTCCCATGTTCAGGTAGACCTCCACCTCTTTAAGGTTGCCTACACCTGTGTTGACCTGATAAAAAAAAATAGATAAAAAAATCTCAAAACTGATAAATGTATAAAATCTGATTGTACAATTGTAAATGGAGTTTAAAAAAAAGTTTGGTTTTTTTTAAATAAATAAATGACAATCAAAAAATTATAGCATAATAAACATGCTACTACTTCTTACATTACAATACAAGCCAAGGAGACTTTGGAGATCCTCTGGGGTGTAGATGCCGCCTGCCCAGGAACTAGATCATTTATACCAACATCGATACCTTAAGATAATAATATCAATTCCTCAACTATCGGAACCCATATAACCTACTGTCCATGCATTTTTGAAGGTCTGAACTTGCCCTCAAAGCAGATTAGATATGGTTCAGAAATGGGTCAACTCCAGGTTAAATGCACCTGTCATTGAATCCTGAATGATCTTAAAAGGGTCTCAGACAGATGTCAAACTGATTCCATCAACGCAAGCTCAAAGTCTATTAACGCATGCCCTAAAATCATCAGAAACTTGAATGTTTTGTGTTTTCAGTTGCTAGCAATCAGGTTCTTCCTTTCAGTACAGCTGGGGGAATCAATGGTGGAGAAGGATGTGGGAGTTCTGGTAGATCACAAGCTTAATAATGGCATGCAATGCCAAGCTGTGGTTTCTAAAGTGAGCAAAATCCTCTCTTGTATTACAAGAGGTATAGACTCCAGAGAGAGAGATATCATTTCCCCCGGTACAAATCATTAGTAACACCTCATCTGGAATATGCAGTTCAGTTTTGGGCACCAATTCACAAAAAGAACATTGGGGAACTGGAGAAAGTACAGAGAAGGGCAACCAAACTGATAAGAGGCATGGAGGAGCTCAGCTATGAGGAAAGATTAGAGGAACTGAATTTATTCTCTATTGAGAAGAGGAGATTAAGGGGGATATGATCAACATGTATAAATACATCAGTGGTTCATACAGTGAACTCGGTGTAGAGCTATTCACCCTGAGGTCATCACAGAGGACAAGGGGGCACTCTTTACATCTGGAGGAAAATAAATGTAATCTCCAAACACGGAAAGGTTTCTTCACAGTAAGAGCTGTGAAAATGTGGAATAGACTCCCTCAAGAGTTGGTTCTGGCCAGCTCAGTGGATTGCTTTAAAAAAGTCCTGGACTCTTTCTTAGATACACAGAATATAACTGGATACTAACATTTATAGGTAAAGTTGATCCAGGAATATCTGATTGCATCTCGGGGGATCAGGAAGGAATTTTTCCCTGCAGGAGCAATTTGGATCATGCTTTGCTGGGGTTTTTTTTTGCCTTCCTCTGGATCAACTGTGGGTGTAGGATTATAACTTTTTTTTTTTTTTTTTTTTTTTTGGTTGAACTGGATGGACTTTTGTCTTTTTTTTTCAGCCAGACTAACTATGTAACTCTACCAGTACTTTAACAGAATCTGCTTATTATGGGCACTGCAATCCATCTGTCTGACCATTAAGGGTACTGTCTAAACCTGTGGTGGGTGGTATTAAAAACACGCTGAGCTCAATTTTTACCGCTCCTTCTTAAGCTGCAGGGCTGCAATGCTTTACAATTTATTCCTACTGAACTGAATGGGGCCACGCCACAACTGTTTGCAATGCACATGGTAGGTGGTGCATGTGTTTTAGGGGTTTAAACAGGCAAGAGAAGGTATCATAATGCCTCCTAACTGCCTGTCAAACACCCTCTGAAGAGTGATTCAACATGGATTGCTCTTCAGGGGATAATACATGTGTAAACAAACCCTAATCTGATTGAAATAACCTTATTTTCTAATCAAAGTGACTATTATATGAAATCTTTACAAGCTTTTTACTTACTGCACAACCCTTTGTAAAAATATATAAATTCAGTACATATAAATTTTTTACAGTGATTGCAACACAATATTTTTTTTTTTTTGCTTGTTCCATAGAAGACATTGTATACTGAACTACTATAATGATATACACTATATTGCCAAAAGTATTGGGACACCCCTCTAAATCATTGTATTCAGGTGTTCCAATCACCTCCATGGCCACTGGTGTATAAAATCAAGCCCTAGGCATGCAGACTGCTTCTACAAACATTTGTGAAAGAATGGGTCACTGTCAGGAGCTCAGTGAATTCAAGAGTGGTACCGTGATAGGTTGTCACCTGTGCAATAAGTCCATCCGTGAAATTTCCTTGCTACTAAATATTCCACAGTCAACTGTTAGTGGTATTATAACAAAGTGGAAGCAACTGGGAACAACAGCAACTCAGCCACCAAGTGGTAGGCCACAAAAAATGACAGAGTGGGGTCAGTGCATGCTGAAGCACACAGAAGTCGCCAACCGTGTGCAGAGTCAATAGCTAAAGACCTCCAAACTTCATGTGGCCTTCAGCTTAGCACAGCAACAGTGCATAGAGAGCTTCATGGAATGGGTTTCCATGGCCAAGCAGCTTCATCCAAGCCTTACATCACCAAGTGCAATGCAAAGCATCGGATGCAGTAGTGTAAAGCATGCCGCCACTGGACTCTAGAACAGTGGAGACGTGTTCTCTGGAGTGACGAATCATGCTTCTCTGTCTGGCAATCTGATGAACGTTTCTGGGTTTGGTGGTTGCCAAGAGAACGGTATTTGCCTGACTGCATTGTGCTAAGTGTAAAGTTTGGTGGAGGGGGAACTATGGTGTGGGGTTGTTTTTCAGGGGTTGGGCTTGGCCCCTTAGTTCCAGTGAAGGGAACTCAAAGCATCAGCATACCAAGACATTTTGGACAATTTCATGCTTCCAACTTTCTGGGAACAGTTTTGGGATAGCCCCTTCCTGTTCCAACATGACTGCACACCAGTGCACAAAGCAAGGTCCATAAAGACATGGATGAGCGAGTTTGGGGTGGAGGAACTTGACTGGCCTGCACAGAGTCCTGACCTCAACCCCATAGAACACCTTTGGGATGAATTAGAGCGGAGACTGCGAGCCAGGCCTTCTTGGCTGACATCAGTGCCTGACCTCACAAATGCACTTCTGGAAGAATGGTCAAACATTCCCATAGACACCCTCCTAAACCTTGTGGACAGCCTTCCCAGAAGAGTTGAAGCTGTTATAGCTGCAAAGGGCGGGCAACTCAATATTGAACCATACGGACTAAGACTGGGATGTCATCAAAGTTCATGTGTGTGTAAAGGCAGGCGTCCCAATACGTTTGGCAATATAGTGTATGAGATCCCAATAATAGGACCTTGTAAGCTAGAACTTAGCAGAACATTTCGAATTCCAGGTAGGTCCATTAACTGTCCTGACTCTTTCGTTCCCCTCAGATTGCTGGATACGTGTCTCAACCATCAGTAGATGTCTCCATTCTGCAGAGGTCGTTGGCCATCCTAGAAAGTATGGTGCTAAACAGCCAGGCTCTGTACCATAAAATAGCCGAGGAAATCACAGTGGGTCAGCTGATTTGTCACCTGCAAGTGTAAGTCGCTCTGGTCTCCACCTGTTGAAAGTGAATGTTTTTGTTTTTTTTGTTTTTTAAATATAGTGAAGACTAAGACCGGTTCATATATATGTGAATTGGAATGCGTTTTGAACCGCATCCAATTTGCATGACATGTGAACCAAAATACTTTTCTATGAAGCCGGTTCACATATGTGTGGGCTAGCCGCAGTGTGATTTAAAAAAAAGAGTCGGGCACGATTTTCAGCCCGGTTCAGGTGCGATTTCCAATGTCATACACTTAAACAATTCACATTGGAATCGCACTTGAACTGCTGAACAAAACTGCACCAGTCCCTTTTAAAAATTGCACTGCAACCCAGACCTGCACATATGTGAACCCAGGCTAAAAGATAACATTTAAAAAAAAAATGCTTAGGCCAGCCATAGTTTGATCAAATCTCGGCCAGTTTAGCAGGGACCATCGATCAATTTCATTACAACCAGTCTGTCTGATTTTTTTGCATGTGATCACAGCCAAGTGCTATTGCCACTATCAGAGATTATTATTTTCTGTCAGCAGGGAAGACCACACTGGCAGAACACAATAATGCTGCAGAACGGATTCCCCTATCAACACTTGTTGATGGGGGAATCAAGCGATTTTCTTATGGGTGGAAGGAAAGAAAATTGTATAATCTTTGGCTTGCCTTACAATGTGCCCAAAACCCTCATCACTAATGCAGAAGTTAAAGCCTTTTAAAATTAAAATGTAGGGTGCCCCTCTTCCGTGTAGACTTGTACTAAGGGTCTACAGTAATGCTTCTTTAGAACACACACACACTTCAGCCCCGGAATGTGGGTTGGCCCCTAAAGATTTCACCTACAGTGCAGAACTGTTGGTCCTACATTGTACATGACGTCATTGATGAGGGTGTGGCTTCCTGACCACTGAAGAAGAGTAGCTTCAGAGAACTGGTGGTCCATTCCAAAACTGGCATAGAAGAAGCCTGCAGGAGCTAGGAATTAGGTGCGTATTCCTCTGCTTACACCCCCTACACTACCCCCCCAGAGTTACTTTTAAAGGCAGACCTGAGTTTACTTTCACTTATAGTGACAGCTATATAGATAGCTCTCATAAATGAGCCTGTCATCAAGTAGGCCACGTCCATTCAATTTCAATGCAATGTTTTCAGGTGTTACATAGACGGTACCTGCATTAATCTCCATCGCAACCAATGAAACATAGTTTCCTTTTGCAGCTTGAAAATTGAAACATCTTCACATGCTTTTCCTAACTGAATGTTTTGCAATCTTCTCCTTCATCTCTCAGTTGTAACCAGGAAATCCAGACTTACGCCATTGCTCTCATCAATGCACTGTTTCTGAAAGCTCCTGAGGACAAGCGCCAGGTGTGTAGCCCATGTCCAACTCATTTTTACAATAGGCTACAGTGTGTAATGTTATGTCTTTGCGTGTGTACATGTGTGACTAACCCCTTGTGTCCTGCTGGTTTCTGTCTGCTATTAACTCCCATCTTTGCTTCTGTTTGTGTGCGTTGTGCACTCAGGAGAAGCCTCAGAATATCTTGGATCTTCCCGTTAGTGTGAGTACCATGGGAGGGCCTAGTTTGGGAGTTTCTGTTGTCCTCCTGTTTCTCACACTTGGACTTCTCCTCCTGATGTAGTGATGCTCTTCCTCAGTTATTCCTAGCTTTCCTCCTCTTCTTGAGTTATCCTTTTTTTGCTGCATTACGTGACTCACACATAATTGTACTCTTTTTCTGGTACAGGAGATGGCAAACATATTTGTACAGAAGCACCTCCGATCTATCATACTCAATGTAAGTAAAAGAGCAATAATGACTGAGTTTTACTAATGTTTTACTGGACACTTTCTGCAACGTCAGCAAATTCCTTGAGCATGCTGTGTGCCAGTAAATGGGCTGCTGTTATTAACCACTTGCTGATCGCAGATAGCCGAATGACAGCTTCACTGCGGCCGGCCAGTTCTGGGAGGACATCATATGACGTCCTCCCAGAACCCACCCTCCAGCGTGCCTGGGGGAGTGCACCTGGCGATCTCCATGATCGCTGTGTCCGTAGGACACAGCTTATCACATGATGTGGTAAAAGGCCAATCACAGCAGCCTTTTACCACATGGTCAGCCGTTCCAATGACACAGAAGATCACCGGTAAATGCAGTTGCCGGTTATCGGCTGCACTTTCCACACGCTGTCACAGTGTGAGGAAAGTACTGCCGATAACCGGCAATTGTCAGAGAAGGGATCGGCCATCAGTGCCACCCATCAGTGCCCATCCAGTTGCATATCAGTGCCACTTATCAGTGCCCATCATTGTTGCATATCAGTGCCAGCTCATCAGTGCCGCCTATCAGTGCCCGTCAGTGCTGCCTACAAGTGCAGCCTCAGCAACGCACATCATTGAAGGAGAAAAATTACCTGTTTGCAATTCAAAATTTTTACTTTTTTTTGTTTATAGGACAAAAAATAAAACACCCAGCAGCGAGTACATACCACCAAAAGAAAGCTCTATTTGTGTGTAAAAATTTCATATGGGTACAGTGTTGCATGACAGCGCAATTGTCACTCAAAGTGCGACAGCGCTGAAAGCTGCAAATTGGCATGGGCAGGAAGGGGGTATAAGTGCCTGGTAGGCAAGTGGTTAATAAAGGACAAAGATGTCTACAGACACTAGATGGTGCCCAGCTGTAAATGCTCGATTTGGTTGTCAAAATGTCGTTATTAGGAACTATTGTTTTGTGCATTTAGTGAAAGTAGGGGCAGGACTTTAAGATGTTGGTCTGTGTCTGGGGAAAATTGTGACTGACTGGTGAACTTCATCCAGACCTATTGCTACTGCCTTTGAGAATATTCAGCCATCAAGGAAGGCCTGTAAAAACACACAGGAGAGCGCAAATGTCTAGTGCATTGCCACCACCAATGTTTATTGGATCCTAAAGACAAAAGCATACTCAAAAACAAAAAAAGGAACAGGCCTCTAAAACATAACTCCAACCATAGGCGATGTCATTCGACTATGTATGCCAAAGTTTGAAACTAACGCGTTTCGGGGAGGGTGTGTCCTTCTTCAGAGCTGCTCTGAAGAAGGGGGCACATCCCCTGAAATGCATTAGTCTTCCAAATTTGGCATACATTGTTCCTTTTTATGTTTGTGAGTATGCTTTTATCTTTTGGATTCAATGAACATTGATGGTGGTAACGCACTAGGTGTTTGTGCCCTTCTGTGCGTTTTTACAGTTCTCTTGGAGATTTCCCAGTCATAGGAGGGCTGTGTTGGGTACAGCGTTATGGTCTGTGACACGTTTGGATGTACAACAGTTTGAGCACTGACGTGTTTGAACTTTTCTGTGATCAAGGAAGGCCTATAGACTTATGAACTTTCTCAGTTCAACTGTAAATGGTCAGATTAGGTTATCCCAAACTGTATGAAGCCCCAGCTGCGTACACTATATAGCTCTGTATTCCGGCAGTGAGAAGGGGAGTTCCAATACCACACCTGGAACACAGCTGAGTCGGGGTGAGTGCTGTTCATCCATTTACAGGGGGTTTGTATTCCCTAAATGAATACAGATCATCCTCTGATTGGCTGACGTGGAAATCATGATGTCATCTGCCCCCCTCTCCGCCTCATCCAATCAGAAGAAGCTTTGTATTCATTCACAGAATACAAAGCTACCTATGAATGACTGAGCAGCTCCTTTGCAATTGATAAATAAAAAACAAAAAAAAAATCAGTTTAGAGTAGGAACCATGGAAGCATAATGTGGAGGGAGAGTTTGGGAGATGCTGAAGCTGTGACTAGTCTGTGTATATGTAGCACACGAGATGCACTGTAATTGGTCTTCATGGAAAAGATTGATTGGCTTTAAAATATAGGCTGTTTCCATGCATCACACACAGTGGGGAAAATAATTATTTGATCCCCTGCAGATTTTTGTACGTTTGCACACTTACAAAGAAATGAAGGGTCCATCATTTTTATCATAGGTGTATTATAAATGATAGAGACAGAACATCAAAAAGTCTAGAAAAAGTACATGATGCAAATGTTAGAATTTGAGTTGCAGTTCAGTGAGTAAAATATGTATTTGATCCCCAAGCAAAACATGACTTAGTATTTGGTGGAGAAACGAAACCCTTGTTGGCAAGCACAGAGGTAAGACGTTTCTTGTAGTCGGTTGCCATTTTTGCACACATCCCAGGAGGGATTTTACTCCACTCTTCTTTACAGATCTTCTCTAAATCCTTAAGGCTTCTTGGCTGTTTCTTAGCAACTAGAAGTTTCAGCTCCCTCCTTAAACTTTCTATAGGATTAAGGTCTAGAGACTGGATAGGCCAATCCATGACCTTAATTTGCTTCTTCTTGAGCCACTCCTTTGTTGCATTTGTGGTATGTTTTGTGTCTGTCATGCTGAAAGACCCATCCACGACCCCCATCTTCAATGTTCTGGCTGAGGGAAGAAGGTTCTCATAAAAGATTTTACAATACATGGCCCTTCCATTGGCCCCTCAATGCAGCAAAGTCGACCTGTACCTTTATTGGAGAAACAGCCCCAAAGCATAATGTTTCCACCTCTGTGCTTGACTGTAGGGATAGTGTTCTTAGGGTCATAGTCGGCATTTTTCTTCCTCCAAACATGGCGAATCGAGGTAATGCCAAAGAGCTCAACTTTGGACTCATCTGACTACAGCACTTTCTCTCAATCCTTCTCTGAATCATTTAGATGTTCATTGGCAAACTTCAGATGAGCCTGTGCATGTGCCTTCTTCAGGAGAGGGACCTTGAAGGTGCTGCAGAATTTCAATCTACGGCGGCATATTGTGTTAACAATGGTTTGTTTGGTGACTGTGGTCTCAACTGCCTTGAGATCATTCACAAGCTCCTCCCGTGTTGTTCTGGGCTGTTCCCTCACTTTTCTCATGATCATCCTTACTCCATGAGGCGAAATCTTGCATGGAGCTCCAGACCGAGGGTGATTGATGGTTATTTTGTATTTCTTCCATTTGCGAATAATCGCTCCAATAGTTGTCTCCTTCTCACCAAGCTTCTTGTTGATGGTCTTGTAGCCCATTCCAGGCTTGTGCAGGTCTACAATCTAAACCCTGATGTCCTTTGACAGCTCTTTGGTCATTTGACCATGATGGTGAGGTTTGAATGGAAGAAAGAGATTCTGTGGATGGGTGTTTTTAATACACATAACGAGTTGCCATTAGAAGCACCTTCTTAAATTGACAGAACTAATCTGTGTACCACATGAGCACATAGACAGTCTGTGGAAGCCAGAATTATTGTTGGTTGGTAGGGGACTCCATTTTCAACATTTGTATCATGTGTTTTCCTGGATTTTCAGTTGATGTTCTGTTTCTATCATTTAAAATACACCAATGATAAAAACTATAGACCCTTCATTTCTTTACAAGTGGGCAAACTTACGAAATCTGCAGGGGATCAAATAATTATTTTCCCCACTGTATCTGCTAAGTTAATGTTTCTCCTTTCGATATAGTAATGCCTCTGTCTTGTTTCTCCAGCATATTATACGAGGAAATCGGCCCATTAAAACAGAGATGGCACATCAGTTGTATGTGCTCCAAGTGCTAACCTTTAATCTCCTAGAGGAGCGGATGATGACCAAAATGGACCCCAATGACCAGGTGACACACAAATCCATTTTTCAACTCTAAACTAGCGTGACTGAGCACAGTTTTAGGTTTGGAAGTGTCTGATTCAGATCAGTGCCAGATCAGATTCTAGCTCTCATTTCCACCTACAGGTTTTAAAAGGAAGGATCTGATTAATTGCTATCAGATTCATTTTCTACTCGAGGCCAAGGTTATGGACCAGGTTTCAGAGGAACCTGTCCCTTGTAAAGTTGCAAACTCAAAGCCCACTCAACATTTGGCTTCATTCATTGACTGCCACTGCTCAGTTCAGCTCAGTTCACACCGATCAGACTTTGAAATCGTGTGACTTCCAGTAAAGTCACACGATTTCAAAGTTGGATGTCATTCCAACTTGAGGTGCAACTTGCCAGACATCTGCGGCTTGCAAGACACAGATATCAATGCCAGTCGCATCTGAAGTAGTGAATGTACTACTTTAGAAATCGGTGCGGCTCCGACCAAGTCGGAATCGCACTCTGACCGCAGACAATAGGGTGTGACTTGCCATGTGATTTGAAACTTGCATGGCAAGTCACACCCAGTATGACTGAGCACTTAAGGTCTTTTCACGCTTTTATATTGTATGCAGTAATGTGCATTTTTCATGCCTCTTACTGTATGCATTAATGCACATTTCTATGCATTTTATACTCATGTTTATGCAAGCTTTTTTTCAACAGGTTTCAACAGGTTTTCAACAGGGCCTGCATCCAGTCAGTAGCAGGCCCTGTTTGGGTATTTTGACAATTGGCTCCAGATGAACTGAGATTCATCCGACCGCATGGAGAAATATGTGTGTATGAGCTGAATTAAAAAATGAGTTCACCCTTTTTTTTTCTCTAAATTTCCAGCTCCCCTATGTATCAATATAGCATTAATCTACTTATTTTGCAGACATTAAAAAGCTTTCCATTTGTTCTACTCACCTATTTGTCAGTGTCCAGATGGCTGTCCAAAAGGCTTCTCCATTACTTCTGCCTTATTTCCTGCAGAGACTTTAGGTCATGACACAGGAAGGAATTGACCAGCTGATCTCATTAGCTCAAACCCTGCATCATCCTACCTCCCACCCCTTCCAGGTGCATGACTATTTAACCACTTCCCGACCGGCCGTTGTATATAAACGGCCGGACGGTGGCAGTGCAGGGTCGGGTGGCCGTTTATAAATGGCCTCCCCGCACCCTCCTTGTGCGCGCTCACTGGGAGCGCGCAGCACCGCGATCCGGTGCCCGCTGTGTCCTCCGGACACAGTGAAACACCGATCGTCGGACGGGACCTCTGTACGAGGTCCCGATCATGTGATCACTGATTGGCCAATCAGTGATCACATGCAAAGTAGCAAGCAAGATGTCACTTGTGACATCATTGCTTACTACGTGTGAAATCAGAGGTCACATGGTACAAGGCTATTCACAACAGCCTTGTACCATGTGACAAGCTGTGACCAATCAGTGCTCACTCTGTATTTCTCAATGACTGTAAGAATGCACACAGAGAGAAAGAGAAATGATTGCTTTTACATCCTATATGGGTGTAAAAGCAATCAGTGTAAAAAAAAAAAAAAAAAAAAAAATCTTCATCACCCCCCACAAGTAGTACAGTGTCACCATGGTGACACTGTACTGCTAGGGTGACAGTATGTAGAAAAAAAAAATAAAAATAAAAAATAATATAAAAAAATAAAATAAAAATGTAAAAAAAAATATTTAAAAATTATAATTTTTGGTTATAAACTAATTTGGATTTTTTTTTCTTACTAAAAAGATAACGGAATACATTTTGGCCAAGATTTATGATGAAATATTATTTATTTGCAAAATTTAAAAAAAAAAAACTTTTTTTTCCAAATTTTTGGACTTTATCATTTACATAGCAAAAAAAATAAAAATCCCAGCAGTGAATAAATACCACCAAAATAAAGCTTTATCTGTCTCAAAAAAATGGTAAAAAATTAATTTGGGTACAGTGTTCCATGACCGTGCAATTGTCATTCAAAGTGTGATAGCGCTGAAAGCTGAAAATTGCCCTGGTCAGGAAGGGGGTAAAAGTGTCCAGACTGGAAGTGGTTAATGAAAAGCAATCAGTCAGTGACCACTGTTACCACTAAATACACAGACATCAATTTTTATTTTTCTACCTTAACTTTCATCTTGCATAGATCATTCATTTGGCAGTATGTGCTGAGCAAAGATAACAGCCTATGTGGGTAGAGCTGTAGTATTGAAAACAGGAGAAATGTGTTCTGGGTTCTGTAATGTTCACATTCACTTTATAATCTGATGTACAATCTCTGTACAATTTCCTTTAGATTTCCCGAACAATGGATTAGGAGTACATACCTATCTACCCAATCACTCTGTATTCAATCAGGCAGGCCCTTGCACTATATAGTTGATGGTAGATCTAAAGGAGATTGTACAATCCAGATTGTATAGTGTATGTGAACTTCACAGAACCCAGAACACAATTCTTCTGTTTTCAATACTACAGCTGTAACCACAAATGCTGTTATCTGTTCACTCAGCACACTCTGCCAAATGAATGATCTATGCAAGATCAAAGTTAAGGTAGAAATATAAAAATGAATGTCTGTGTATTTAGTGAGAACAGTGATCAATGATTGATTGCTTTTCTTTCAATAGCCGTGCATCTGGAAGTGGGTGGGAGGTAGGATGATGCAGGGTATGTGCTATGAGGTCAGCTGGTCAACTCCTTCCTGTGCCATGACCTAAATTCTCTGCAGGAAATAAGGCAGAAGTAATGGAGAAGCTTTTTTTGGACAGCTTTCTGGACACTGACATAAAGGAGGGTAGAAAAAATGGAAAGCTTTTGAATTTCTGCAAAAGAAGTGCATTAATGCTGTATTGGTACATAGAGGAGCTGGAATTTAGGGAAAAAAAAAAGTGAACAAAGGTGAACTCATCCTATAAATAAAAGCTCGCAGGTCTTGACCATCTCATCATCTGTGACTACAGAGTGAAATTGATTAGTGTGTTTTAAACCTGAGTAGAATTCAAATTTAGAATAAACCTGTGGCTTGGCCATGCAGGACAGAGAATCCGGTTTACCCAAAGTGGAGTTCCACTCACGCTGTCAAAAAATTCAAGTCAGCAGCTACAAAAACTGTAGTTGCTGACTTTTAACCTCTTGCCGTCCGCCTGCTGTTTATAAACGGCAGGGCGGTGGCAGTCCAAGGTCGGGTTGCCGTTCCTAAACGGCACCCGCCTTTTCTAGCTGTGCGCGCTCCCTAGGAGCGCGCACCACCGCGATCCGGTGTCCGCTGTGTCCTCCGGACACAGTGAAACACCGATCGTCGGACGGGACCTCTGTACGAGGTCCCGGTCATGTGATCACTGATTGGCGAATCAGTGATCACATGCAAAGTAGTAAGCAAGATGTCACTTGTGACATCATTGCTTACTACGTGTGAAATCTGTGAATGATCACAGAGGTCACATGGTACAAGGCTATTCACAACAGCCTTGTACCATGTGACAAGCTGTGGCCAATCACAGCTCACTCAGTATTTCTCAATGACTGCAAGAATGCAGACAGAGAGAAAGAGAAATGATTGCTTTTACATCCTATATGGGTGTAAAAGCAATCAGTGTAAAAAAAAAAAAAAAAATCTTCATCACCCCCCACAAGTAGTACAGTGACACCATGGTGACACTGTACTGCTAGGGTGACAGTATGTAAAAATAAAAAATAAAAATAAAAAATAATATAAAAAAAAATAAAATAAAAATGTAAAAAAAAATGTTTAAAAATTATAATGTTTGGTTATAAACTAATTTGGATTTTTTTTTTTACTAAAAAAATAACGGAATAAATTTTGGCCAAGATTTAGGATGAAATATTATTTATTTGCAAAATTTTATAAAAAAAAAAACACTTTTTTTCAAAATTTTTTGGACTTTTTCATTTACATAGTAAAAAAAATAAAAATCCCAGCGGTGAATAAATACCACCAAAATAAAGCTTTATCTGTCTCAAAAAAATGGTAAAAAATTCATATGGGTACAGTATTGCATGACCGCGCAATTGTCATTCAAAGTGTGATAGCGCTGAAAGCTGAAAATTGCCCTGGACAGGAAGGGGGTAAAAGTGTCCGGACAGGAAGTGGTTAAAAAAACACACACTCACCTGTCCCTCGGTCCTGCGGTGTGTCCCCTGCAGCCCGTTTTATTGGCCGTCTTCTCTCCCTAAGTGCCAGCACCTTCAGTGTGGGCAACTGGCTGTGACAGCTTGCAGCTTCACAGCTGGGTGCCCACTGCGCATGCACAAGTAGCGCTGCGCTTCCTGAATGGTCATGTAGTCTTCTGGGACCTGTCACATGTCCCAAAAGACTATGGGGAGGGAGGAAAACTTCCACTTCCGATCGACTAGGCGATCAGAGCGGAAGTGGGAGCGGGTACCTGTTAAATTCAGGTACTCCCCCCCCCCCCCCCCCCCCCCCAAGGGTGCCAGTCCTTAATGGCGAACGGGGGACCAGTCTTTAAAGCGGAACTTCCCCTTTTGGGTAGAGCTCTGCTTTAACTGCTGCCCTCCTGTGCAGCACATTGCTTAGAGTAAGCAAAGAGGACACCACATGTATTTTGCAAGATGTGAATTACCTAAAGCTTACCCAAGGTCTAGGAATGTTCCCTGTCCCATGCAGCACTTTCAGAGTGCTGTAATTCATACCAACAAATCAGATCATACCTTCCAGAAGTCATTTACATGAACGATACATTCTCATTGGTTGTTGTGGCAGGGCTGGACAAATTCCAGGAGCCAGGTAGCCGGTGCTTCTTAAAAATTACATATGGTGCCTAACTTTTTAGGTTTATTTAGTAGTTGTCAATGGGGGTGCCTTCTTAAAAAAAAAAAAAAAAAACTTGCTAGATACTGGATTGGACAAACTTTTTTTTTGAACAAGTCAGAAAATATCTCTAATATAACCAATGCTTTATGTTCTTCATCAGGCCCAGAGAGACATCATATTTGAATTAAGAAGAATTGCATTTGATGCAGAGACTGACGGCAGCGGAGTGTCAGGCACTGGGACAGAAAAGCGCAAGGCCATGTATAGCAAGGACTACAAGATGCTGGGCTTCACTGTGAGTTTGCTGCCTACATTTGCACAATGCTTTCAGTGTGCAAATCTTTTCATGCAGCTTTCGCTTTATTTATAGACAGCAAGAAATTGACAGTTAAAATTGTAGCTCTGTGTGTATATTGATATATTGTTATATTGATTTGAGTAATAGTGTCCAGGATTTCTTGTGATTTAAAGGATAAGTTCACCTTTTAGACAAAAATAATAAATGCACATTTTTTTGCAGGTAAAAAAAAAAATGTGCATTTATTATTTTTGTCTACAGGAGCCTGGAAAGCATTGCACCAGAGATCAGCAGATCGCTGATGCCATGCAGGTCTCCTGCAGACCTGTCAGAATATCTGCTAGCTGTACGGGATGTACGAGCAAGAGGATATACTGACAGGAAGCTTCAATGAACTACCATGCACTCCACAGCGCTGTGGTAGTTCATTGAAAACTACAAGCCGACAGCTGCTAAGGCTGCCGGGACTAGCAATTCATTTATTCACGGACGTCTGTGAATGAATGACACAGCTGTGTGTGCAGAGCCCTGCACGGCCACGCTGTTTTCAAATTTGACAGTACGGGGAGATGATCATAGGGCCCCTGTGTCCTTGCCCAAACTCAAAAAAGCCTATAAAAAAGGTACCAGGGGCATCTCATGGGGCCCCCTACTGACCCCGGGCCCTCGGGCAGTGCCCGAGTTTCCAAATGGTCAGTCTGCTCCTGGATGGGAACATGTTACATGTTTCCACCCTAAAAAACAGGTAGAACATGTATCATGTTCCCAAAGGTAAACTTATCCTTTAAAGTAGATGTAAACCAATCAAAAATCTGAAAAAAATATCAGTCCCCACCACACTCCAAACTCAGCCTCTTTTGTTGTATTTATTGCTTGTCAGAAAAGTGACTGCATACAAAAGTGTCTCCACCTGAAAACCAATCTTCCTTGACACATTTCACCACTCCTGGTTTGATCACAAGGATAGGGGAAGTCTGTCATGGCTGTCTAATTAGGAGCAGCGGCTGTGTCTGTGCAGCCACTGCATCCATAAAAGACATGAATGGAACTGCCTGCACGCCAATGCATCATTACCTGTGTATCCCGTGCAGGGGAAGACAGCCCTTCGCATGGGTCAATGCATAGATATGTCCATGTGAATGAGGCCTTAAGCTGAACTCTGTTAAAACAGTTAAATTGTGATATTCATCATCTTTTGACAGGTTTTTAAAATGACTCTTTAATTATTACAAAGTACCTGCATTTAGTGTTACAGTTGTGCATCATTGCATTTTACCCTTCAGTGTCTTGTTACTGCGGCCATATGCTAACATTTTATCATATACTTAGACTATTGCCATGGTAACAGTGGGAATAATAGTATGCTGAAATAGTAGCTATTTGCCCATTCAGTCCAATACAGGAAAAAAAAAAAGCTTGACTTCGTAGAATAAGCTCATTGGAAGTAATAATTTAGTTTATCCTGTGGCCCCTTGTAAAATGAATCGGAATAAATGTATCCAGTTCTGAGCTCCAGGATTGTTTCATGTAGAAATCTATTATATAAATTATTTTATTGATTTATATTGTGCTTACATATTGTCCAGTATTCCACAAAGCACACTTATGCAGGCCATACATGGTTCGAATTCTGAACGATTTTTCATCCGAAAATCGAAAACGTTCACTCGGTAATCTGATGGTGCCATCAATGATTTAGAAAAACGGCTGACCAAGTCATACAGTTCACCCCATATAACAGGCAAAACTTCTGTTCCTTCCAGGTCACGGCTCATGCGCATATTCTTTCTGGAAAAACGATCGTATGATTTGACCAGTCGAAAATTGGTAGTTTTTAACGAATTTTCCAACATGCCCGATCATCAAAAAGGGGAGGAACCACGAAAATTGGCCGGTGCCATTGACCCACTAACAGAGCGAAAATTGGCCGATTATTCTTAGGTCCGATTTTCGGACGAAAAATCAATCGAATGTCGACCCATGGACCCTTAGGAGTTGATTTACTAAAACTGGAGAATTCAGAATCTGGTGCAGCTGTGCATGGTAGCTAATCAGCTTCTAACGTCAGCTTGTTCAATTAAGCTTTGACAAAAAAAAAACTGGACGATGATTGGTTTGCATGCCGAGTTGTACCAGATTTTGCACTCTCCAGTTTTAGTAAATCAAGCCCTATGGCTGACTTCACATGAGCGATCTTGACGCTGGCTGGCAGTCTTTTAGTGTCAGGACCTGTAAAAGACTGTCTGTCAGTCTCTTTGGATTTGCTCTCTTGCAGTGGGGCCAGTGAGATGTTGCTCTCTTGCTGTCTTGTTGCAAGTGAGGGAAATTCAGCAGAGTTTGGGGCCAGCGAGGAAGGTTGCCTTTGTGACTTCAGACTCTTCCCCAGGGCTGATTATAGTCCAAGTCTCTTCTTCAGCCATACAGAGATGTGCATACGTAGGCCAATTTTAACTTAAAAGTAGTGATGAGCCTATATGATTGCGTATGCCAGCCCATCATCCCCCCAAAGTCTGCTGGGAAATAGACACTTTCAGGAGTGCTGATTTCCTGTGTCCTCTGCAGCTCTGGTGGTCCCTCTGACCTCTGTGTCAGTACAGGGCTCAGCAGGGATGTGGGGTCAGCAGGAGGGACCAGTGAAACCCACCTGTATCATGGACCCTCCCACCCCAGTAGGCGGAACCTGTACTTTGTGCCATATGCTGGCACATGATCGACAATCGTGTGGCACAAGTATGAGGTCCACACACCAGTGAGGCAGAGCCGGGGATTTTTGGTTTAAGGTGGAGGTGGGGACATTGACAATTTGCTGATGCTCCCAGGAGTCCCAATGGCCTGATAGCCAGATGGATGGTCTATCCCAGCATTGGTGGGACATGTACATTTTATGTTGTCTCCAGATGGACTAAACCTTTGAATTAACCGCTTTCCCACCGTCCTATAGCCGAAATACTGCTACAGGGCAGCACGGCTGGGCATAATCACGTATATATACGGGATTTTTCATTTCTGGGTAGGGGGCATGCACAGGCCCTGCGTGTGCCGCCATTGTCGGCTTCAGCTGTCGATCACCGTGTCCCGGCTGGTGATTCCCCGCAGACACCCGGCGATCGCCTAGTATCACTGATGGGGGAGAGGTCTGTATGTAAACAATACAGATCTCTCCCCTGTTAGCTCCAGCACACTGCTTTGTGTTGCTCTGCATAGCAAGTGGTTAATCTGTCTTCTGTACTGTGTACCTACCCTGTTCTGAAGTAACGGATCCAGCCGTGCGATCACAAAGGTTTTAAATCTTTGGGTACATGCACCACATTGTTATGGCCTAATATCTACAAGTGCTGTACATATGGCAATGTATATCCATGTTTATTGATTTTATATTGCATTTTGGAATGAGCTTTGTTCATAATGCATTCTTTTTTTAAATATTGTAGTTTTGGGCCCTCAGTGTTGCATACAAAACTCATCTTTTTTTAAGTGTTTTGACTTTATATTCAAATGGGATGGCAACGTAAGGCATTTAAGCAAGTATAACCCATCTCCTGTAACTGGTATGTAGCAGTACCCATGTATGTATGTATAATGTTACCACAAGGCATCATCATGTGGACACTTTTATTTGGGCTTTGAGTCATTGAGAAAAAACTCCAGAAGTAACTCACTGGGGGGTTATTTACTAAAGCTGAATAATGCAAAATCTGATGCAGCTCTGCATAGAAACTAATCTGCTTTTAGATATTATTCTCAAAGCTTAACCTCCTTGGCGGTATTCCCGAGTGTAGCTCGGGGTAACATTTCAGTACCACAAACGGTAACCCCGAGCTACACTCGGGAATACCATGCGGCACTGCTCCGGCATGTGTTCTTCACTTACCTTACCCTGCGCTCCCACGATGTGTCCCCTGCAGCGTCCCCGGCCATCTCCTCCGGCCGATGCCGGCATCCGGCTTCTGTGTCCTGTCCCTGTGACGTCGGGACGTACGGGCGCCGCTGGCGGCGGGAAATTTAAAAATTTTAAAAAATGTCTTTTTTTTTTTTTTTACATTTTACATAGTAAAACATTGCTGTCTCAACCAATTTCACATACATTTTGTCCCTAATGCTTTGTCCTGCGCCCTGCCTGCATTTTGTCTGTTCTTTCTGCCTGGAAACTGAGAAATGTCCATGGCGTCCAAAAAGTGTCCCTTTAGGTCAAAAGCGGTTTTAGACCAGCTAGAGAACAGCGATAGTAAATCAGAACCACTTGCAGAATTGAGTGATAATGATTTGTGGGGAAAATCGTCATCAGACACTGAAAACGATTTTGCGACTTTGCTCAGCAATGTGCGAACTTGGCGCTATATTTCACATTTCAGTGTTTTTGGTTTGAATATATTATTGAATTAAATGTATTATTATTATATTATTATTTTTTATGATTATTTATTAAATTATAATTTATGATTACGTGTTTCAAATTTTATCCTACCCGGGATGTTTACTAGACTCTTGTTCGGACAGATTTCAGTGAGTTATTCCTAAAAATTACAGGCCTACAATAAAAAACTACATATTTCCATGCAAAAAAATGGTACTGCTTTCAGCACCGAAAATCGGAAAGAATCATACCGCCAGGGAGGTTAATAGAACAAGCTGAAGTTAGAAGCTGATTGGCTACCATGCGCAGCTGCACCAGATTCTGAGTGGATCAGTTTTAATAAATTACCCTACTGTGTGCTGTGCAAGCAACTAGTAAGGGGTTCAATTAACCACTGATTTGCAGGAAAAACATATTCACTTAGTGAGCAGAAAAAAGGGTTAGCACCTGATCACCACAGGTCAGCCCCGATTGCTTCAACTCCAGGTTCAAATGAATCAATTTTGTCACTAACCTGTAGTGTTGATAGAACTGGACTGTGGAGTTCTAACATAAACCGTTACTCTTTCAGAATCATGTGAACCCAGCTCTGGATTTCATTCAGACACCCCCGGGTATGCTGGCTCTTGACAATATGCTGTATTTGGCAAAATTCCACCAGGACACCTATGTACGGGTGAGTCTGTTTACAGCCCTGTCATTGCTGCCTTCACAGTAGAGGACTTTCTCTGTATTAATGTTTTTGGAGGATTGTTTCAAAATGACACTACAGATCTTAAAGCGGAGGTCCCCCCAAAATCAGAAGCTCCACTTGTTTGGCTCCTCCCTTCTCCAGTGCCATATTTGGCACCTTTTGGGGGAGAGAGCGGGTACCTGGTTTTGACAGGTACCCGCTCCCACTTCCGGCTGAGTTTGCCGCAGCAAAATGAGCCGGAAGTTCGGCCCCCCCTCCTTCCTCCCACAGCCTCCTGGGAACTTTCACAGGTCCAAGAAGACTGCTGGACCAATCAGAAGGTGCGCATGCACAGTGGGCATCAAGCTGTGAAACCGCAAGCTGTCACAGCCTGGTGCCCACAGTTGTGATGCTCGTGCTGTGGAGGAGAAAAGGGGAGAAGGGACAGCGTGGGTAAGTGCACTGCTGGACTCTGGGACAGGTAAGTGTGTGTTTATTAAAGTCAGCAGCTACAGCAGCTCTTTATATCTGGAGGAAAAGAAATTTAATCTCCAAACACAGAAAATGTGGAATAGACTCCCTCAAGAGTTGGATCTGGCCAGCTCAGTGGATTGCTTCAAAAAAGTCCTGGATTCTTTCTTAGATACACAGAATATAACTGGATACTACTATTTATAGGTACAGTTGATCCAGGGAATATCCAATCGCCTCTGGGGGGATCAGGAAGGAATATTTTTCCCTGCAGGAGCAAATTGGATCATGCTTTGCTGGGTTTTTTTGCCTTCCTCTGGATCAATTGTGGGTATAGGATTATAACTTTTTTTTTTTTTTAATGGTTGAACTGGATGGACTTTTGTCTTTTTTCAGCCAGACTAACACTAACTATGTAACTATGACTTATATTTTTCATATGTTGTATGATTATCACAATTGGTTGCAAGCATTTGCACACTAATGTTATGTTCTTTTTGAGATTAGCATTCTCTGTGCATTTATGATTTATTGATTTTTAAAGGAACAACACACCATTTTTTTCTATACATCACCATCTCCTATGGGAGCTTCACTAAGTCTGTAATATATCTGCGATATTGGAACCTGGGGGACCTCTATGACTAAGCCCCTGATGGGCAGGGCAAAATGCGTCAGTTGCTGTGGCCAGTGGAGCCGCGCTGGCTGAGGCCATACACTTCAACGAGCATCAGGCATATTCCCTTTTATGCCGACATATCTGAGAATAACCAATATTCACCATTCTGGCACATTCTACTTTTCCAACAAATACTTTGTTGCTTCTCTCTTGCACTCTACATTTGAATTTGCATTTCTCTTGTCTACCTCTGTTCACTGTGTGAGCCATAAAGCTTTCTTTTTGTCACACTTTGGTGTTTTGTAGATTGTGTTGGAGAACAGCAGTAGGGAAGATAAGCACGAATGTCCATTTGGACGCAGCGCCATTGAACTGACTAAGATGTTATGTGAGATACTTCAGGTTGGAGAACTGCGTAAGTCTAATGACATTTAGTAGTAACACTTCTTGTTTAATATTGTGCTGGATGTCATGCTTAGTCCTCTGTTTAGTGTATTTAGAACCTTTCTTTCTGTTGTGCAGCGAATGAAGGTCGTAACGATTACCACCCCATGTTCTTTACTCATGAGAGGGCATTTGAAGAATTCTTTTGTATCTGCATCCAGCTGGTTAACAAAACCTGGAAGGAGATGAGAGCTACTGCTGAAGACTTTAACAAGGTACTGAGCTGTATGAATTTTCTTTTTATAAACCATTTATACAGCAAAGTTTTGCCAGAATTTAAGCAATTTAAAGAACCAGTCCACCCAAAATTGAGAATCAATCCATCCAACCATTTTTTTTTTTATATTTCTGCTCTTGAGTTCTTGGGTCTGCATATCTGCTGTGCCCATTGTTAGGGATTCCCACTCTCCTTGTGAATTTTTTTGGGGGAGTATAAGGAAGAATGCAGTTGACATTAAGGGTAACCTTCACATTTGGCCAACAAGATGGTACAGATTAGTAATGAATTTGACAGTACATTTTACATTCGAACTGGTGATACATAGTCCAGTGTCAAACGTTGAACATTAGGTGGGTGGCGGGCGGTCTTCTACCTGGCAGTATACCATGATGATGCTTGCAGCTGCAGGCATCATCTCGATATCGTTTTTTTCAGCCAGCGACCGGCTTTATTGTAAAAGCCATCCATGCAGCTAATTAGCCACTGGATTGGTTTTACATGGGGTGGGAGTGATCGCCCCCTCTCGCTGCCTTCTGGTTCCTCTCCAGGATCTCTGTCCCACCGGAGCTCCCTGAACTGAAGCCAACTGCTTACCATAGAACCCATGGAGGAATGGAATATCTCTAATGGCCTCTATGGTATAGGAAATCGGAAGTGACTGGTACTGTTGTCCATTTTTTCCGGAAGTAAACGGTACCATCTTTAAAGCATTTGACACTGATCTTGGTGTGAGCAAATGCTTTTAGAGCAGAGGAGAGGTCTGGAGTCTAATAGACCCCAGATCTCTCCATAAAGAGTACCTGTCACTGCCTATTGCTGTCACAAGTGATGTTGAAATTGCTTGCGACAGCAATAAAAGTGATTAAAAAAAAATTAAATAACAGTGTAAAAATCTATAAATACAATTTTTCAAGTACACGTTGGTCATGCACGCATACACACGCGTTGGTCATGCACACATGGTCATGTGGCATGCTCCCAGCACAAAGACAGATAATGCTTATATGTGGTCCCACAGAAAAAAAGCCCAGTCCAGTGAGGCCACATATAGGCGTACTGTTGGTGGGAAGGGGTTAAAAACATCATATAGCATTAATTGACATGAGACGTATGGTTAAGAGTTAAATAAGGGCCGTAAAAGCATACAAAGTTTGCGCAGAAAGAGACTTTGACTTCAATTTAGGCCAGAGGTCATTAAATCGGTGATTCCCAAAATGTATGTCAGCCCCTACTGCTGCTTTCTGTTGTTACTTCTAGGATGAAAAAAGATGAAATTGGATGGTAGCTGTTTGACACATAGGGGTTTATTTACTAAAGCTGGAGAGTCCAAAATCAGACTCCCTTCTGCATAGAAACCAATCAGCTTCTAACCTCAGCTTGTTCAATGAAGCTTTGGTAATGAAACCTGGAAGCTGATTGGTTTCTATGCAGAAGGGAGTCTGATTTTGGACTCTCCAGCTTTAGTAAATAACCCCCATAATGTTTTAGCAAAATAAATGTGAACCAGTTAGGCTTTATATCTACTTTAACTCAGAGGGAGGTCAAATTATTATTATTATTTTTATTTTTTTTTTAAGATCACATAGCTGTGCATTCTTGCCTATAATTCTGTTATGACCTGACATTTGTTGTACCTTCATCTATGTTATTTCATTGCCTTTTAGTTCAGACTCCATGTTTGCTCCTATATTTCAGGTGATGCAGGTGGTGAGGGAGCAGATTACCCGTGCTTTGCCCTCCAGGCCAAACTCTCTGGAGCAGCTGAAAAACAAACTGCGCGGTCTGAGCTACACAGAAATCTTGAGACTTCGGCAGTCTGAGAGGATGAGCCAGGATGACTTCCAGTCCCCGCCTATTGTGTATGTAATGTAGAGGTATAGTGATAAAACGGTGAACGGGATGAGCTCAGATAGGTTTAGACCAAACCTGCCTGAGCCATCTCGCTAGGAAGCTGTCACTGCGGACAGCCAATCATAAGCAGCTGAGGCATTCACCTGCCTTGTAGCCACACACATACAAGGAGTATGTATGCATGCGGCTGTGGGGTGAGGAATGCCACCTGATACTTGTGATTTTGTGTCCACAGTGACAGCCTTCAGGCGGGGGTAGCTCTAAATTCAGACTCGCTTCCAAACACGTCTGAGCTCATTCCTAGCAGTGAGTCTGGTATTCAATAAACATCCACTGCAGGTGAATCTGCCTGGTGCATGTGTTCTAAAGGACACTAGTTGATTCATTAGCAGAAAATGTTAGGTGAAAGTCACATTCACTGATTTTTAAAAATGCCCCTCTAAAGACCCCTACCTATAACAATTCTGCTTAGACTGGTTCATAAAACTTGAGGACAACTAAGTTTGTCTGTTTTTGATACAATGATGAACCGAGAATAGAAATTTGGAAGTGGTCACTGCAAAATGAGTTCAGAAAGATATAGGACTCAAGTCTAATGTTATATCTAAGTTCACCTACCTAGTGAGTCACTGACCTGGATAGATGTTTAGAATTAACTGGGTACATGCGTGTTTCAGGCCTTTTTAACTTCTAGGTTGTAAAGTTAAAGTGTTACTAAACCCAGGACCCTGCATTCACTATATCTGGTCTCCCACAGTACACAGAACATGGAAATGCAATTATTTTAGTAAATATAACCTGCTAAATATATATATATTTTTTTTTAACTATTTCTAGGTATTCTGTGTGAATGGAACATTTAACAAACATGTAATGGGGTTTTATCAAATTTGACTGCAAAAGTGGAAATGCACGGGGGAACGAGGGTGCTTTTTTAATTTTTTTTTTTTTTTTTTTCACTCACAAGGTAACAACATCCCTTGTGATAGCATGGACTGTGACAGGTCCTCTTTATTGACAGATCTGGAGTCTTTGAGATCGGTTTGATCTGCTGCTACAAAGGCTGGCAACTGCTTGTAAACAGAGGGACCAAAACTGGAAGTGAATGAATCTTTGTTGCGTCTGGTTTCTGGCGTCACACATGCAGGGACAAGATCAGTTCTTCTCACTGTATTCAGGGAAGCCAGTGCCGCCTGTGGCATCCTTCCAGTCTCCCCGATCGCTCCGGACAGCCCGGTAAAGGCAGCAGGAGGGGGGACCCCCTTCCGACATCTGTAAAAGTTGCTGTATAGCTGCTAAGAATACTTTTTTTATTTTGTAGAGAATTGTAAAAAACATTGTAAAATTGTAAAAAAACAATACCAGGATCATGACTGTAGCTGCAGTCATGATTCTGGAAAAACAACCTCAATACCAGGATGTCTATGTACATACGGCAGGACTGAGGTGGTTAAACTACCCCTATCATATAGGTTGCTGTTGGTCACCTCCTTTTTTAACCACTCACCTACAGGGCACGTATAGCCCCCTTCCTGCTCAGGCCAATTTTCAACTTTCAGCGCTGTCGCACTTTGAAGGACAACACTGTACCCATATGAAATTTTATCATTTTTTTGAGACAGATAGAGATTTCTTTTAGTGGTATTTAATCACCTCTGTGTTTTTTATTTTTTGCTAAACAAACCAAAAACCACTGAAAAGTTTGAAAAAAAAAGTTTTTTTTTTTTCTTAGTTTTTGTTATAAAATTTTGTAAATAAGTGATTTTTCTCCTTCACTGATGTGCGCTAATGAGGCTGCAGTGATGGGCATTGATAGGCTGCACTGATGGACAATGATAGGTGGCACTGATGGGCACTGATGAGGAGGCACTGGTAGGTGGCACTGATCGGCATTGACAGGCATCACTGAAAGGCAGCACTCATATATGGCACTGATAGGCATTACTGACTGGCACTGTTAGTGGCACTGACTGGCACTGTTAGGCGGCACTGATAGGCAGCACTGACGGGCACTGATAGGCGACACTGATGTGCACTGATAGGCGGCACTGATGTGCACTGACTGGCACTGATTGGCAGCACTGATAGGTAGCACTGACTGGCATTGATAGGTGGCACTGACTGGCACTGATAGGTAACACTGAAAGGCAGCTCAGATGGGCACTGATATGTGGCACTGATGGGCACTGGCAGGTGGTATGGATGAGCACTGACAGCTGGCACTGATGGACACTGACAGCTGGCACTGATGGAGCTACATTGATCATCAGGGCACACTGATCATCAGTGCCCTGATGATCAGTGTACATGTCCCCTCCGAGGAATGCCAATTACCGGCTTTCCTCTCCTCTCGAGCTGTCAGCATGCCAGCTTGTGAGAAGAGAAATGCCGATAACCGGCATTTCCCTATTTACATGTGATCAGCTGTGATTGGATACAGCTGATCACATGACTGAGCCGACATCTTCGGCTCTTTTGATCGGTGATCCGCTGTGTCCGAGGGACACAGCGCACCGCCAATCGTCGCACTCCCGGAGCCACGCATGCGCGGTTAGAATGGGAGGACGTCATATGACGTGCTCCCAGAACAAGAGAACCACCTTGTGCCCGTCATTTCCTTATATGGCGGGCGGGAGGTGGTTAAAAATGCTAAATTCTTAGCAGAAAATACAGAAGCCAAGGCATTGGCAAGAGAGCCAGCAACTAGCATTTTCAAAAGACAGCAACAGTAACCAACATATTTTTCCCCTGACAGCTGTCTTTTAACTGTTTTTGTTTTTATTCCCAATTATATAAAGATGGAGATGGCAGTTTGTTTGTTTTTTTCATTGTTTATCTTGTTCCATACATAATTTATAAAATATCGCTTTTAAAAACTGAACAGTTTGAGGAAACCATCAGTCTGACCTCCTTCTTCTAAAAAATGTGATTTATATGCCTGTGGCTGCTGATCTGGTTTTCAATACATTGTGAGTAACTGAACTGGAACAGGTATGCTGGGAGTTGTTCTGATTTGCATGTTCTGTTGCATACTTGTCATCTGGCTCAGCAAATATGGAAGTCAGGGGGATTCGTATGCCAGGCTGGTGCATAGTACTTTCATCAGGTCAGCAATGGCAACATCTTTATTTTATTTATTTATTTTTGATTTATAAACTTTTATTGCAGGTTTCGAACAATAAGAGGAAATATACAACACAACACAGCTGTGCATAAAATCAGATAATAAAATGTATACATACAGAAACCAAAAAGAAAAGAAAATACAAAGGGGGGGGGGAGGGGCGGAAATAGGGGAAGGGAAGAACATTACAATAAATGGACACCCCTTCATACGGGCCTTAACCGGGGTCTTAAAAACCTCAATGGCACCATAACAAAGCTGTCAGCCCAAGGTGATGCCCAAAACGAAATAAACAATAACAAAGTCCTCGGTTATGTGTAACTAAATTAGATACGTAACTGGGTGCAAAAAATAAAAAAAGACGGTAATTATACTCCACAAGCCAATTTAGAGGAATAAGAAGAGATGGGGAACCGGAAAGAGAGGAAGGGGGGAAAAAAAAAAAAGGGGGAAGGAGGGAAAAAGAACAGATAAGGCAATTATGCTGGTCGAAATTGCACTCCCAGTATCCCGATCGGGATCCAGCCCAAGAAAGAAAAACTTGTCTAGTATTGTTAGCTCATGAAGAACGGATAGATTCCAGATTCATCGTGGGGCTACAGTACTGTCACTATCGACAACGATCCTGATATTGTTGGGTTTTCTTAACCTCTTGCCCTCCAGAAGATTTACCCCCCTTCCTGACAAGGCCATTTTTTGCGTTATGGCGCTGTGTTACTTTAACTGACAATTGCGCGGTCATGCAACGCTGCACCCAAATTAAATTTATGTCCCTTTTTTTCCCACAAATAGAACTTTCTTTCTGTGGTATTTGATCGCCTGTGCTTTTTTATTTTTTGCGCTATAAAAAAAAATACACCTACAATTGAGAAAAAAACAATATTTTTGACTTTTTACTATTAAACATGTCCAGTAAAAAATATTTAAAAAATCAAATTTCGTCATAAATTTAGGACAAATGTATTCTGCTCCATGTCTGCTAAAAAAGATCCCAATATGTGTAAATTGATTGGTTTACGTGAAAGTTATAATGTTTACAAATGGCGGTATATATATACTGGGCTTTTTTTTTTACTAGTAATGGCGGCAATCAGCGACTTATTGCGGGACTGCGGCAGGCATTCTGACACTGGGGGGGAACTGACTTGGTGTCGCTGATATCCACAGTGACACCAATACAGTGATCAGTGCTAATAAAAAGCACTGACACTGTACTAATGGCACTGGGTAGGAAGGTGTTAACATCTGGGGCAATCAAAGGGTTAACTGTGTGCTGTGTGCCGTTTTACATGTTCTGTGTTTGTGCTTCACTGTAAGCACACTGCTTTGTATGGCTGTGCTGTGCACAGACATGCAAAGCAATGTGCAGGAGCTGACAGGGAGGAGAGCTGTTTTGTTTACTAACAGTTCTCGACCCCGTCGGAGATCCTCGGCAATCACCAGGCGCCTTCGAGTAATCACTGGACGGGACCCGGTGATTGATGGCCGCGAATGGCCCGTGCGCGGCCCCCTACCTGGAAACGCGGAATCATGTATATATACATGCCGCCCTGTAGCATTATTTCGGCTATGGGGCAGAGCTAAACTGGTTAAAATAAGTCCAACAATACCAGGTAGAGGTATATTTTGAAATATTATCTTGGGAAATACATGACAGTTCTTCCATTTCTTCCATCGCTGTCAGTCTCTGAAACCATTCTTTAACGGTTGGAACTCTAGTTGAACGCCAGTGGCACAGAATGCAATGCCTTGCTGCATTTATCATAAACATCGCCAGGGATTTGCAATAATTGGAAATAGAAACTGGGTTGTAGTGTAAAAGATATTGTGCTGGGGAGATTTTCCGTAGAGACAATCATAGTGATCTTGTGTACCTTTTCCCAGAAAGGTTGTAGTTTGAGGCAGGACCACCAGACATGTAACAATGTACCAACGTCTCAGCATCTTTATTTGTTTTGCAAAAAAAAAAATCAGTTAAGAAAAAGGCTGGAATTTGGTTGATTCATATCACTTTACCCCTCCAGTTTTTATACTTGAGCTCCAACTTTAAGGCCCAAATATTACAATCTACCTTTACTTGAAACACCTTTAATTTATTTTCATTTTTTTTTTTTCTTAGTGAACTGCGTGAGAAAATTCAACCAGAGATTTTGGAATTAATTAAACAGCAGCGGCTGAACCGCCTGTGTGAAGGAAGCAGCTTCCGTAAGATTGGCAATCGTAGAAGGCAAGGTAATTCCCTTAAGATTAGGAACATGGGGTGACTATGACTTCAGATCTTATGTGAGTTATTGGACCGCAGTATTGCCTCCTCTGAATCCATGGGTATGGCTTCATGTTTTGCAGAAAGGTTTTGGTTCTGCCGTCTGGCTCTTAACCACAAGGTTTTGCACTATGGAGACTTGGAGGAGAATGCACAAGGCGAAGTGCCGTATGAGTCCCTGCAAGAGAAGAGTAAGGATTTAGGGTGCTTGACTTCATACTTTTCTGATCTTTTTTTTTTTTGAATGATACACTTCTATTGACAGTAGTGGGGTTAGTAAATGGACAGTTGCAGTAACTTCTATTAGCCATGCAAAATTCATTTCAGGTTACTCTGGTTTATTGCACTTTGCACATAGCTGATTTCCAGCCATATATGCATTAAAAATACATAATTAAAGAACAACTTTTAGTGACATTGTCCTTTTTTAAATGTTTTCCCCACATTTCTTTGAATGTTCCCTTTAGCCCCATGAATGACAACTATTTTCTAAAGTACTTACATTCAGCCCTGCCCCAAGTTCTTCAATGTGGGGCTCTGGCTATGTGCAGTTTTTACTGCTTATGTCTGCCTGTAGGCCCATTTCTGCTTATGGTTGGTCCTTACATATGGCATCCTCAGCCATTGTGAGTAGTAAAGAACAGCCATAGGAATGAGCCAGTAGGACCTCTGCGGCTGGGACCTCTGTATGAAAAGACAGTGCTGGGCAGGGCCACACAGTAGAGAAGAAACAGGGCTGAAGGTAAGTATTTAAAGGACAACTTTATTAAAAGTGTCCTCTAATTGTAGATTAACATACAACTAGTATTTGTATCTAATGTTAGTCTCCTGTAATGCTTTGCACAAATTTGCCCGGGAGAAGGATGGCCTGCACTCTGAGCCATTCAAGGCTTCACTGCTGCCAGTAAAACATAGAACACACTGAGTGGAGGGAGGCCACAGGAATGACCGCATCAATGTGCTGCCTTTTGTTACTGCCCCGTCACAGGCTGGGGTGGGTCCTGGAGCAGGTTGTGATGTTTAAATGCAATGTAGTGGGAAAAGAGGACCAGGACCTGGCTCTGCTCTTTGGCAGGTAATCTGAATCATTAGAGTGGCTGAGCAGAATTACAAACCTTTTTTGCAGCTAAACCTAATACATATATAGTTAGGTCCATAAATATTTGGACACAGGCACAATTTTAGTTTTTTTCAGGTATTTACCAAAACATATTCAAGCTATAGTTATATAATGGATATGGTCTGAAAGTGCACACTCAGGTTTAATTTTAGGGTATGTACATCCAAATTGGAGGAAGGGTTTAGGAATTACAGCTCTTAAGAGTAGCCATCCCCCCCCTTTTTTAGGGGACCAAAAGTAATTGGATTATTGAATCAAAAGCTGTTTCATGGCCAGGTGTGGGCTACTCCTTCGTTATTTCATCAATTAAGCAGGTAAAAGGTCTGGAGTTGATTCTAAGTGTGGTATTTGCATTTAGAACCTACATCATGCATTCAAAGTAACTGTCCATGCAAGTGAAACAGGCCATTGTAAGGCTTCAAAAACAAAACAAATCCATCAGAGAGATAGCAGCAACATTAGGAGTGGCCAAATCAACAGTTTGGTACATTCAGAGGAAAGAATAATGCACTGGAGAGCTCAGCAACATAAAAAGGCATGAACGTCCATGGAGGACATTCATGGTGGATGATTGCAGGATCCTCTCTATGGTAAAGAAAAACCCATTAAATCAAAAACGAATTCTCCTGCGCTCTAGGACCCAGGCAGGTGGCGAATGGATGGAACAGACCTGGAAAAATCGACCACCAATGCATGTAGGCCTGTGCGGCTCCAAACAAGGCTGGGAAAGCCTGACCAACACTGCAGAACAAAATGAAAACGAGAAGCGCACCAACCTTGCGCATTACCTCAATAACCAAAATTTATTAATTATAAAAATATACTCACAAACAGCGAATAAAAATCAGGCATGCAAGTCCTCAAAGGGACTTGAAGACAGCGCGAATCCCATCAAGGGGATGGATATTCAGTACAGCTGACGCGTTTCGAAGGGTGTCCCTTCTTCATCAGAGCTGATGAAGAAGGGACACCCTTCAAAACGCATCAGCTGTACTGAATATCCATCCCCTTGATGGGATTCGCGCTGTCTTCAAGTCCCTTTGAGGACTTGCATGCCTGATTTTATTCGCTGTTTGTGAGTATATTTTTATAATTAATAAATTTTGGTTATTGAGGTAATGCGCAAGGTTGGTGCGCTTCTCGTTTTCATTTCGTTCTGCAAAGAAAAACCCATTCACAACATCCAGACAAGTGAAGGACACTCTCCAGGAGGTGGGTGTATCATTCTCTACAATCAACAGAAGTCTTTACAAGAGCAAATACAGAGGGTTCACCACAAGGTGCAAACCATTCAAAAGCCTGAAGAATAGAAAAGCCAGATTAGATTTTGCTAAAAAAAAAGCCAGACCAGTTCTGGAAAAGCATTGTTTGGATGAATGAAACTAAGATTAATCTGTACCAGAATGACGGGAAGAAAAAAGTGTGGAGAAGGCTTGGAACAGCTCATGATCCAAAGCACACAATGTCATCTGTAAAACATGGTGGAGGCAGTGTGATGCATGGGCATGCATGGCTTCCAGTGGCAATGGGTCATTGGTGTTTATTGATGATGTGACAGAAGAGAGAAGCAGCCGGATGAATTCTGCAGTCTTTAGAGATATACTGTCAGCTCCGATTCAGCCAAATGCAGCAAAGTTGATTGGACAGCACTTCACAGTACAGATGGACAATGATCCAAAACACACTGCAAAAGCAACCCAGGAGCGTTTGAAGGAAAAGAAGTAGAATATTCTGCAATGGCCAAGTCAATCACCTGATCTCAATCCAATTGAGCATGCATTTAACTTGCTGAAGACAAAACTAAAGGCAGAAAGACCCACAAACAAAGAACAACTGAAAACCGCTGCAGTTAGAGCCTGGCAAAGCATCATAAAGAAGGAAACCCAGTCTTTGATAATGTCCATGGGTTCCAGACTTCAGGCAGTCATTGTCAGTAAAGGATTCTCAACAAAATATTAAAAATGAACACTTTATGATTATATTCATTTTTCCAATTAAATTTGAGCCCCTGAAAATGGAGGGACTGTATAAAAATGGTTGCATTAAAGCTGAAAGTCTGCACTTCAGATTCATTTGGATTGTTTCGTTTTAATTTATTCTAATGGCATACAGAGCCAAAAGTATGAAAATTGTGCCTGTGTCCAAATATGTATGGACCTAACTGTATGTATTTCAGGTATATATTTAATTGAGTACTGTCCGTGATACTTTTTTTTTATATATATATATTTAGTGATTTGTTTGCAATAAATTAACCCATGTTCCCATAATGCACTCAGATATTCTGTGTTTTCTTCTAGTCCCAGTTGCTGATATCAAGGCCGTGCTTACAGGGAAAGACTGTCCCCATATGAAGGAGAAGAGTGCACTGAAGCAGAACAAGGTCACTGGAAACTCATCAAACCCCAATTTACCTTCTGCTTAGTCCCTGTCTGCAAAATATATGCAAACCATTTTCATTGTCTTGCTTATAATTACTATTTATTCCACTTTTTTCATAACTTTCCACCTTTACTCTGTGCCTTCATTTCTGTCCTACATTTTCAAATGTTGCTGTGGGTGATCTGTATACTGTAAAACAAAAAGCCAAAATCACACTAAAATGTTCGTATATTTAAATTAGGAGAGAAGCTGTGCATGCAGAAAAGTCATTTTTCTCTTAACCACTTCAGTACCAGACACTGTCACCCGCTTACAGTCCAGGCCAATTTTCAGCTTTCAGCGCTGTCACACTTTGAATGACAATTGCGCAGTTATACAACACTGTACCCATATGAAAATTTTATCTTTTTTTCCCACACAAATAGAGATTTATTTTGGTGGTATTTAATCGCCACTCGGTTTTTTTAATTTTTTTTTTTCTAAACAAATTGAGACTTAAAAAACTTTCTTCTTTTCTGTTATAAAAGTTTGCAAATAAGTAATTTTTTTCTTCTTCACTGATGGGTGCTGATGAGGCTGCACTGATGGGTACTGATGAGGTTGCACCGAGGGGTGCTGATGAGGCTGCACCGAGGGGTGCTGGTGAGGCTGCACCGAGGGGTGCTGATGAGGCTGCACCGAGGGGTGCTGGTGAGGCTGCACCGAGGGGTGCTGATGAGGCTGCACCGAGGGGTGCTGATGAGGCTGCACCGAGGGGTGCTGGTGAGGCTGCACCGAGGGTTGCTGGTGAGGCTGCACCGAGGGGTGCTGGTGAGGCTGCACCGATGGGTGCTGATGAGGCTGCACCGATGGGTACTGATAGGGGGCACTGATGAGCTACACTGATGGGCACTGCTGAGCACTGATACGCTACACTGATGGGCACTGATAGGTTCCACCAATGGGGCTGCACTGATGATCAGTGCCTTGATTATCAGTGCAGCCCCATTAGTGCCCTGATTATCAGTGTAGACAAAGTGCTGACAGCCTTGCTGGGTATAAGCTGTCTCTTCCTCACACAGACACAGCGCATGAGAATAAGACTGCCAATAATGATAAGTCCGCTTACACGTGATCAGCTGTGATTGGACAGAGCTGGTCACATGATAAATAGCTATTGTGATTGGCCTTCTACTGTGTGACCTTTGATCATCTGTGTCCAAAAAACACATTGGTTACAGAGCGCACCCCAGGGGAAGTGCGAGAGGGCACATTCTGGGAGGACATCTATAGATGGCCTCCCAGAACAAGAGAATCACGCTGTAGCCGTCTTTCGGCTATGGCGCGGTATTAAAGTGGTTAAAGGTATAGTTCACCTTTAGCAAAAAAAAATGCTTATGTAGGTAAGGGGAGCCTGTGATAAAAGTAAACTGAAGCTTCGACTAAGTTGGATAATAACCTTTCTATAGGTGTAGAACATTTAGTATATACCTCCCAAAGCCTGGCCATAAAAACTCCCAGACATGGCATCATCTCATCCTGCCTTGCTGCTTGGACCTTGCTAAGACGCTTCCAGATGTTACTGCTTACCACCCCCAGCACAGGAACAAGCTCCAAACCCCACACATCTGTGGTCCACTATCTCCACATCACTCAGAGCTACTGTGACATGGGAGAGAGTATATAGTCAGGAGTCTGAATTGGCTGGGAGTTTCTTTGCAACCTCCTAGCAACAAGGCAGGATGGGATGATTCCATCTCTGAGTTTTTGGCCAGGTTTTGGGAGGTATGTAAAATGACCTACACCTATTGCAAGGAGATTTTTTTTAACTTTGGTCAAAGTTGCACAGTTTGTTTTTTATCTACAGGTGCCCCTTACCTGCATTGGTAGTTTTTTTTTTTGGTAAAGGTGAACTAACTCTTTTAACCACTAAAGCCGTTCATTTTTGAGGGAGAGTCAAGTCACAACTGGACCTGTGTCCTAACACAGCTGATCACGGATGGTGAAAGGCCGATCCCACCGGCCTCCACGTGATCAGCGGTGTCCAATGACACGCTGATCACAGGAAAATTAAGTGCCTTCTCGGCTGCACTTGCAGCTGTCATATCTGTAAGTGTGCCGAAACAAAGAGCGGGGATCGGCCAAATCTTTTAGTGCCCTGATGATCCTAGCAGTACATTTATGCGCCCACTAAATTAAGTGCCCCCACCTGCCTAACTCCACCCCAATAACCTTTTCTAAGATTTGCGTAGAGCAGTGCCACCCACCTGGGGTGAAAACCCACCACCAGTGCTGTTTTATGCTATCTGTGCCACCCCATTGTGCCAGTCAGTGCCGCCACTCAGTGCCCAGAAGTGATTGTGGTCTATCAGTCTCCTGTTTGTGCTGACTACACAGGAAGTCAGGAGAACCTCCCTATTAGTACATCAGGGGGCCTACAGACACCAGTGCCGCCTATCAGTATCAGTGCCGTTCCAACCCTTCCCTAAAAATTTATTAAAGCCATTTCTTCACTATTTGTGGTCCCCAGTAAAAGAATCTGCTTACTCATCCTTTTTGCAAAAGCTTTGGCCTGGTAAAGAAGGGGGTATAAGTGCCTTAGGCAAGTTTAAAAGGTTCATTCACAACTGGGCCAAACAAGGATCTGAGTTTTTATTTTAACTTGCAGCCTTTTCCAAATCATACTGTATGACCACTCCATAAGACGCACTTTTTTCCCCCAAAAAAAGGGGGGAAAATTTATTGCACCAAATATGGAATACCGAGTGTAATTCATGCACTTTTTGCTGCCTTTAATACCTTTTTGAAGTCACACTTACTTTTTTGTTCTTTGATCTTACCTGTTCCTCTATCCAGCGGCGCGCTTTCCTTCTGTAGTGGGGCACTGGGCATGACACGGTGCCAAGTGCGCATGCGCAAGAAGCGGTGCTTTTTTGGTACACCTGTGCAGATCACACCAATCACAAACGCAAGTGCTTCTAGCACTGGGCACCCGTTGCATGTCGAGGAATTATGAAGAAGGCGCTGTGATAGAGCTAAGATCTAAGAGCGGGTACCTGTCAAATGTAAGCTCCAAGGAGCAGGGCCCCCTGTGCTGTCCGCACTGTATGTGCTGTCCGCAGTCTGGTCATCTCCTGTACTATGTCTGCAGTATTAGTTCAGAATTTTTTTTCTCCTGTTTTCAAAACCTTTTATGGTCAGGTGCGTCTTATGGAGCGAAAAATACAATAAATTAAAGCCTAACTCCACCCAATAACCTTTTCTAAGATTTGCGTAGAGTGGAGAGGGGTGAAAACCACCAAGGTTTTATTGCTATCTGTCTCCATGTTGGGGGATTCATTGTTGGGGAATCTCCTGGTTTGCTGACTACACAGGAAGTCAGGAGAACCTCCCTATCGGGGACAGACACCAGTATACGTTCCAACCCTTCTCTAATTTATAAAAGCCCTTTTATTTGTGGTCCAGTAAAAGAATCTGCTTACTCTCCTTTTTGCAAACTTCTTTCCCTTTTCTGTCTTAGGAAGTTTTGGAATTGGCCTTTTCCATACTGTATGACCCAGATGAGACTCTCAACTTTATTGCACCAAATAAATACGAGGTAATATGCACTTTTGCTGCATTTATAAATTTTGAAGTCCAATGTCTTTTTTCCTTTGGAGAAAACGGTGCTCCAGGCTCTTTACATTGCTGATCACAATCCAAACGCTTAGGCTCGTTGCATGGAATATGAGAAGGCTGTGATGAGCTCTTAGATTGTAAGCTCCAAGGAGCAGGGCCCTCTTGTATTGAACTGTATCGTTGCTGTACTGTCTCCCTTTATTTTGTAAAGCGCCGAGCAATTTATATTGTAAAGTGCTGAGCTGTTGGGTATATTCTGTATAATAATATTTATATGCATTTTGATACACCCTTTTAGGAATATTACAGCTGCTAGGGGAATTAGAGGATTGGAGCTATATACTTTTTATTTATTATTTATTTTTTTAAAGGCATAGGTAAAAAAATATATTTTTAAATTATTTCTAGGTATTCTGTGTGAATTTTTTGTAATGGGGTTTTCTCAAATTTGACTGCAAAAGTGGCAATGCACGGGGGAACGAGGGTGCTTTAATTTTTTTTTTTTTATCACTCACAAGGGAACAACATGTTGTGATAGCATGGACCGTGACAGGTCCTCTATATTGAGAGATCTGGGGCTTTTGAGATCAGTTTGATCTGCTGCTACACAGGCTAGCAACTGCTTGTAAACAAAGGGACTAAAAATCCTTGTTGCTTCTGGTTTCTGACATCACACATTGGCAGGGACAAGATCAGTTCCTCTCACTGTATTCAGGGAAGCCAATGCCGCCGCCAGCATACTTACCAGTCTCCCCGATCGCTCGGGACAGCCCGGTAAAGGCAGCGGCAGGAGGGGGGACCCCGTTCCGCCATCTGTAAAAGTAATCCAGTGGCTGTATAGCTGCTAGGAATACTTTTTATTTTGTAGAGAATTATAAAAGCATTGTAAAATTGTAAAAAACAATACCAGGATTATGACAGTAGCTGCAGTCATGATACTGGTAAAACCACCTCAACACCAGGATTTATATGTACATACGGCGTACTGAGGTGGTTAAACTACCCCTATCATATAGGTTGCTGTTGGTTACCTCCTTTTTAAAAATGTTCAATTCTTGGCAGAAAATACAGAAGCCAAGGCATTGGCATGATATCCAGCAACTAGCATTTTCAAAAGAAGATAGCGAAAGTAACCAACATATTTTTCCAATGTCTTTTAACTGTTTTTGTTTTTATTCCCAATAATATAAAGATGGAGATGAGCAAAACTGTTGGCATACAGTGCATTCATCGTAACTTAGTATACAGGAGAGATTTTTTTCTTTTTTTTTTTTCTTTTTACTTTGCACCTTTATAGCAATACAAACAACACATTTCACAGAGTCCTAGTAACACAAGTATTTCTGTCTTTTATGTGTTTTAGTACTGCATCTGGATTGATGGTGTGAACGCTTTGTTGGGGAGGGAGATGAGCAGTGAGCTAACCCGTAGTGACATGGACACTCTGCTCAGCATGGAGATGAAGCTGCGTCTGCTGGATCTGGAAAACATTCCAATCCCTGAGGTGCCTCCTCCCATCCCCAAAGAGCCCAGCAGTTATGATTTTGTCTACCACTACGGCTGATCTGGAGATCTACATGGAGGACATGCACACCCACTAACATGGGGAAAGACCTCTCATTAATCAGCTGTGTAATGGACCAAGGTCTGCCCTGAGATGGGGAGAGGCTTGTGTAACCCAGATGCGCGCCCATACACATCCATTGGCTGTCTTCAGCAAAGCTGCTGTGGATGACCCCTGCAATAGCTGTAAAATACAAGAGCAGCAAGGGCTTCTGGATCACAGTTCTTGCCTGCTAGGCACCCTCTTCCTTCTGGTTCATTTTAAAGGTTTTTCAATAGGTACTGCATAGGTACAGACGGAGGCTGCGTATACTATTGTCAATGACCCTGTAGGGTTTAAATCAGTAAATCTATTTTTGCCTTAATGTTTAGAATGCTTTTTCCAATCTGAGTGCTGCACGCCGCCATCCACCCAATGCATGGAGTGCAGCTCTTCATTCCAACAGTGTATATGGTGCTCTGTTCAAAAGCACAATTGATTTTATTGTTTCTTGTTACCAGAGAGGTATTTTTGTCTAGGTACAAAAAATGTAATGTCTCACTATTGTATCTAAAAAACAGTTTACAGTATAGGGTTCGGTGGAGACAAGAAGAGTATATATACAGCAATCTCTGTGATACGGTACAACTCTCGCCCCTTGTAAATGATGTTGGGGGAGGGGGGGCATATGAATGTAAAAAAAAAAAAAGATGAGGTACATGAGGCTGACATCCAAAATAATATGTAATATTACTAATAAATAACAAGCTGCTGGTGTCTTTCCGTGTGTTTTACATTTTATTTTGTAACTTTTACTTTCTTATCCATTGAGGGACACAGGAAGGCTTTCAAATTCGGATCATGCTGCTGCAACAGGAGGACTGGACACTGGTAAACAAAAAACCTGTAGGCCAGTCCAGGATAACCCCTTCCACTACCAGCATGCCTCGTTTTTTTTTTTTTTGCGCTAGTGTCCTAGGAGGATGGATGTCTTTTCTTCAACTATGCAGTTTTAAAAAGCAATCTGTGTTTTGTTTTTTCTCTTTTTTTGCTCTATTGATTTTAGCTTGATGACACCAGGGGGTTTATTTACTAAACCTGGTTGACTCAGAATCTTGTCCACTTCTGCATAAAAACCAATCAGCTTCCAGGTTTTATTGCTGAAGCTTAACTGAACATGCTGAGGTTAGAAGCTGATTGGCTACCATGCACAGGTGCCCAAGATTCTGAGTCAACCAGTTTTAGTAAATCTCCTATCAAATGTCATCAGCAAAGAGAACACCTAACCCTAGATGTCTGAGGATTAATAAAACAGGTTCAACCTGTATACTCCCTCGTGAGGTTCTCATCAGTGGCACCTGAACTGGAGCACTGAGTTTTAATTTCATGGATTTGAAGTGGTGGTAAATTTAGGTTTATACGTACTTTTTTCATATGACAAATCTACATTTTTTTGCCAAGTCTGTCATGAAAATGAGTACATTATGTCAATTTGATGTGTCATTCTTTCGAGCATATCACCTTTTCTGTAGGAACTATTTCATTGAAGGTCTACTGTTTGCCTGTTCAAATATGTTGAAAAAGTCAACAATTTCCATGTCAGTTTATGGATGAAATTTTTTGTTCCTTTTGATCAGAATATAGGAATGCTTTAGAAGAGCAGAACAGCAAGTAGCCTAGTGCTGTAAGTTTTGAATCCAACTAAAGCCTCTGAGCACACATTAAAGGACTTTTGGTAGACATTAATCCTGTGAATTCTTGCAGTTTACACTATTACCTGAACAAGATTGACTGTTTTACTGTTGTCTATAAATCTTCCAGAGCTAAGTCCTATGGGGAATGGCGTGAGGTTAGTTTCTAAATTTGTCTTACAGTCCCTCAGCTCTTTCCTGTTGCTGTTGACACATAGAAAACAGTGTACATTGACTCCATAGCTTTTCCATTGTCCATAGCAAGTAGCAAATGGACATAGCAAGTAGCAGTAGCAGGATGCTTTTATTGTGATCACCATCAATAAAAGCGCTTAAAGTGGACCAGTTTCACCAAAGAACTGTATTGTCTTGAAAGCTTGAGCTTTTATTCTACACAGTCAACCAATAATATAGTGCTTAGGTAGAGCTTGCTGATATGATGGCTATCTAAATTACACCTTCAGCCAAGGCTTCCTCCAAAGGAAGTGTCACATACCTGACCGTAGGCTGCAATAGAGAGAGGGCTCCCCTTACGGCTAAGTGCAGTGTGCCCCTGGAAGTGGAAACAGGAGGTGCAGTGCCCAAAGAACCACGGTTGCCAGTGGTGTTACTGCTTGGAGATGCCTGATGAGATGGAACCCGTGGGTGCTCCAGTTGCAGGAGGAGTTTCTCCAAAGAACACGTGGATTCCGGAGGATGGGTAGAGTAGTCAGTAGCAGGGGCGGACTGACAACTCATGGGGCCCCCGGGCAATAGGGGATCATGGGGCCCCTGTGTCCTTGCCCAACTCAAAAAAGCCTATGAAAAAGGTACCAGGGGCATCTCATGGGAACCCCTACTACTGACCTCGGGCAGTGCCAGAGTTTCCAAATGGTCAGTCCGCCCCTGGTCAGTAGCCAGAGCCAGGGTCAATATGGAGCAGCAGACAGGAGCAATGTCAGGATCAAGCCGGGGTCGTACAGTGAGCAGCAGACAGGAGCAAAGTCAGGATCAAGCCGGGCATACACAGAGCAGCAGATAGGAACAAGATCAGGAACAAGCTTCGGTAATGGGTAATCAGCAGTAAACTCAGGAACAGGAGGGGGGGCTGATGATAATCCAGCAATCACTGAGCAGAGCTGCAGTCCTTATAAAGTCCACTGAGTATCAGCATTTAGTGCACCCTGCATGTGCCGGTGCGTTTTCACGCACAGGAATGCACAATTACGTGCCGCCCGTCTATGCGCATGCACACTTCTTTGCGTGAATTGGTGTGGCCATTTTGAGCATTGGCGCATTTGCCCGGGCTTCCTCATCTTTTCTCCTGACAGGAAAGGAGAAACAGTGGTTTCCTAAAGACAAATAAGTATAAAAATTCTTGTTTATACCAAGGTTACATAGAAAAATGGTGGCTTTATATACATTAGTTAATATGCATTTAAAATGAAGAGTTAAATATTTCCTTTTATTGGTTGAATAGATTAAAACTGCAAGTATAAAGACAGCTCAGGTATATTTTGTACATGCATGGATTAGTCAGTGCCAGTGATCAACACATCAGAGATATAATTAGCTAAAATGCTATGCAATTCCTAACTTTTAGGGTCCTTTCACATGGGTGTGCTCCGCTCCATTAAGCAGGGGATCCATGAACAAATCCCCTGTGGAATTGAAGCAGTGCAGAATGCCTGTCATTTTTGTGACATCCATGTCCAATTAGTTTTTTTTTCCACATTTTGTCCACAGACATTAATGAAACCATGTTGGATCTGTAAGCTGCTGGATGTAAACAGACTTGTGTCTGTTTACATCAGTCTACCTCTGGTACATCATGTTTAGGTCGGGACCTTCACAGACTCAGAAGTTAACATGGCACATGTCCACTTACATCCTCCTACCTATAGACTTGTGTGGAGCTTCTGAAAAGTGACAGGCGGGACTGAAAGGGCCCTAACAGTAAGAATGCCTAGCCTAACCTGCTGTTTAGGTCTCTCTACTGATTGATGTGATGGGTTCAGGAGTGGACAGGGATAAGCTTTTTTCTATAGAAAATGTTGAGATTGGCTCATAACTTTTGCCTATATCTGAATCTATTGATTGTTTGGTCATGTAAGTTCATTAAAGGTAATCGTTGCTTATTCATTTTTCCATATATAATCAGTTTGAATTAGCTAGGATTGTGATGAATTTTCATTAAATTTCTTGGTGCTGGCACTGGCTGTGCCCTGAAGTACTACACCCAGTTTTCAAGATAAAAAAGAATGCACCACGTTGGCCCATGTAGGGTCCTACAGAACATACCTTAGAACTGCCATACATATACAGTAAAATCTGAATAGTGTGATAATCTGACAGGGTAAAGAGTGGCATTGGAAACAACAATAAACAAAGTATTGGAAGTCCTTGGTATTGTTTAGAACTTTCCAGTTTGTTCTCTTTTTTTCTGTAGAATTGTAAATATGTTGGTACTGGTACAACAGCAGTAACAATGGCCCAAACTCTTGTCTCCAGTGATTGTAGATGAAAGCTCTTTCTGGCTACAAAGGCCCCATTAGGGCATGTGAATAAATACATAATAGATAAATATCGGTATTGTGTTGATAGATCTAATTGTGCTTACGGCCATGTGAGTGCAGAATAAGGAAATGTCAAGTGCTCAAGGATTTTTCCTTTAGCCAGAGAAAAAGAAAATCAGAAGAATGGCTCCTAACAGTCCTAATCTTTGTGGGAATTTAAAATAAATGATGAGAGGCCTGTCAGAGTACTTGTACCTAACTCTGGGATAAATTCTTTTTTTTCTAAGAAAATAGTTCCATCAAGCTAAAAAAAAAAATAGCCCAGTCTTCAATATTCACCTTTTGATTCAGATACCTTTTTAAAGGATAAGTTCACCTTTCATAACATGTTACATGTTACACCCCTATCAAGGGTGTAGTATGTCACTAAATGAGCAGCCCCTGTCATCCCCTTTTGATTCAGATAACTTTTAAAAGATACGTTTACCGTTCATAAACATGTTACACCCCTATCAATGAGCAGCCCCTCCTATCACCTTTTGATTCAGATATCTTTTAAAGGATAAGTTCACCTTTCATAACATGTTACTTCCCTATCAATGAGCAGCCCCTGCAATCACCTTTTGATACAGATATCTTTTAAAGGATAAGTTCACCTTTCATAACGTGTTGCATGTTACACCCCTATCAAGGGTGTAGTATGTTACTAAATGAGCAGCCCCTGCAGGCTCCCCCTGCTTGTGACAGCAGGCAAGGGGTCTTCTCCCCACACCAGCTGTCACAATTAGAAAAGAAAAAAAGTGTCCATGTCACTCATACACAGCGTTCTGTGAAT